GACTTTTCAAATATTTCATGTTTCCCTATTTTCTACAATCTTAACAACATGCTACCAAATTTAATCTCTGATATTTATGTTCTGTTCACAGTGCGCCCTAGTCCTCCAGTGACCCCCGAGGCCTATGATAAGACGAAGGACTCTGTCAGCCTGAAGTGGCAGATGCCCCGCCATGATGGCAAGGGCAGGATATTTGGCTACATAGTTGAGTACCAGAAGCCCGGCGCCGTAGAGTGGCTTCAGGCTAACGATACCCCAGAGCAGTGTCCCGACCTCCACTATGTGGTAACGGGTCTAAGTGATGGACAAGAATATTCTTTCAGGATCTTCACTGTCAATGCTGCCGGCAAATCTGACCCTGCCTACGTCAAGCAGTCCATCAAAGTCCATGACAGACTGGGTAAGAGGTCTATTTGTTACTTTGGTATCAGTTTGTGAAGCAGAAATAACTTTTTGTTTTCACCTCAAACTATGGCAACTCCAACCAATAACATGTCATGTGGTTGGAAATATGTCTATACGCCTATCCTATTTTATATATCACTCAGATTTAATACATTTGTTCCCATTTCTGTCCACAGAGGAGCCTGAGTTGCTACTGGATGCTAACATGGCACGTGACCACCTGGCAATGTTGGGCACAGACATCACCCTGAGCGCCACCATTAAGGGTATACCGACACCCACCGTTAGCTGGAAGAAGAACGATGGAGATGTTCCTTCTCACATCACTGTTGCCGTCACCGCCACTGGCAGCAAAGTCTTCATTCCCAAATGCGTCCGCCCGGACTCTGGGAAGTACACCATCACTGTGGAGAATGCCGCTGGAAAGAAATCAGCAACCGTTGCTGTGCTTGTGTTGAGTAAGTGAAACATTCACCAACTGACAGATTGACACACTTTGTGTTTACAATATTCAGTCATACCCGAAATGAAAACTAACTGGGTTGTGAAAAATGCCATCCTTGAATTTAACTCTAATCCACTTTTATTTCCCTCAGATAAACCTTCTCCTCCCAGAGACCTGGTGATCACTGAAGTGACCAGCGAGTCTGCCTACCTGACATGGAAGGCTCCTGAGGACAATGGTGGGGCTGTCATCTCCCACTATGTTGTACAGAAGAAGGACGTGGCCTCAGAGCAGTGGGTTCCTGTCTCTGCAGCCAATAAGAAGCTGAGTCTGATGGCCTTGTACCTGATGGAAGGAATTCAGTACCTGTTCAGGGTCGCTGCTGAGAACCAGTTTGGCAGAAGTGACTTTGTGATCACTAAGACGCCCATCAAGGCTGTCGATCCACTCTGTGAGTAAAACTCAGAGCTACATCATGTTGTCTCATTTGACTTTGCAAAATACCGATTTTTTATCATTTTGTGTGAATTCTAATTCTGTTGAATTCTGAGGGACCCACTCTCATTGGATATCCACAGTGTCAATCAGTACACTGTTATTTCACTTTGAAACAACAAAACAAAATAAACTAATGGGAGCGGTTAGGACGATGAATGTCATCAGCAGTTAGTCATTGAGTTTGTCAACAGTTCTGTACCTTTATTTACATCCACCAATAATGAGTGATTATTTCCCCGTTCACCTCTCAGATCCTCCTGGTCCTCCCAAGAACCTGCACCACACTGATGCAGAAAAGACAGATGTGTGGTTGGTATGGGAGTGGCCTGACCGCACTGGTGGAAGTGAAATCACCGGCTTCATTGTGGAGCACCAGGAAGAGGGCCAGACTGACTGGGTCACATTCAAGACCGTGAGCAACAACCATGCCCACGTCACCGGGCTGGTGGAGGGCAAGACTTACCGCTTTAGGGTCAAGGCTCAGAACGCCATTGGTGTGAGCCGTCCAGACACTAGCATCCCTGTTACCTGCCAGGAGAAGACATGTAAGACACAAGATTTGTATGAAGTTGTTTCCTAATGTGAAAGCTGCTTCAGTTTTAATTTATAAGCTCAAAAACATTCTAATAATTTAACTGGTTTGTTCTCTTTCAGTGCCGCCAACTATTGAAGTTGATGTGAAGCTTATTGAGGGTCTTGTTGTCAAAGCTGGGAGCCCTATTGTCCTTCCAGGCAAAATGACAGGCATTCCCATTCCCACTGCTAAATGGATGACAGATGGCAAAGAGTTAGTGTCAGAAGGCCACTATCTCATAGTAACTGCTGGATCCTCCACCACCCTAAGTATCCCTGAATCCAAGAGAGGAGACACTGGAGAGTACATCCTCACTGTTTCTAATCCTTCAGGCAGCAAGACAGTTGCCCTGCATGTCACTGTCTTGGATCTTCCTGGGCCACCTATTGGACCCATCAATATCTTGGAGGTCACCCCTGATTTCATGATGATTCAATGGAGGGCGCCTAAGGATGATGGTGGCACACCCATCACTAATTATGTGGTGGAAAAGAAGGATGTGAAGAAACCATGGGAGCCCTGGTCTGTTGTTAGCTCCAGTGGCACCAGTACCAAGGCTAAGGTGTCCAGGCTGGAGAAGGGTCGTGAATACATTGTTCGGGTCCGTGCAGAGAACAAGATTGGCATTGGCGCTGGACTTGAGAGTCCTCCCACTATTGCTAAGCACATGTTCAACCCTCCTGGTCCACCAGGCCCGCCAGAGTGTTCTGATATCACAGAGAATGCTGTGACAGTAGAATGGACTTTGCCCGACTATGATGGAGGAAGCCCCATCAGTGGCTATGTGGTTGAACGCAGAGAAATGACAGGAAAGTGGATCCGTGTCAACAAAACTCCAGTGCTGGACCTCAGATACAGAGTCTCAGGCCTGTTTGAAGGCAACAGCTATGAATTTAGAGTTTTTGCTGAGAACATTGCTGGTATCAGTGAGCCTTCTCTCACCTCTCACCCTATCAAGGCCACACGCGCTATCACCAAGCCTGGCCCACCTGGTAATCTTAAACTGAAGGACTGGAGCAAATCATATGCTGAAATCTGCTGGACTAAGCCCACAAGAGATGGTGGCAGTCCCATTCTTGGTTATGTGGTTGAGGCTCAGAAGTCAGGAAGTGCCCAGTGGGACAGAATCAACAAGGATCTCATCAAAATGTGTGCCTACAGAGTACCAGGCCTGATTGAAGGAATGGAGTACAGAATTCGCATCAGGGCCACCAACAAAGTTGGAGACAGTGAACCAAGGGAACTCCCGGAGACCGTTTTGGCAAAGGACATCCTGGTGCCTCCAGAAGTTGTTGTTGACATTTCCTGTCGTGACTCCCTGACAGTCAGAGCAGGTCAGATCATCAGTTTGATCTCAAGGGTGAAGGGCAGACCGGATCCCGAGATCACATGGACCAAGGATGCCAGAGCCTTGTCAAGGGATAAACGCACTGAAATGAACAATAACTACCCTCTGTGTGAACTTGTAATCAATGAGGCAATCAGGTCGGACTATGGTAAATATGCAATTCTTGCCAAGAACAGCAGTGGACAAGCACAGGCCACAATTCTTGTCAATGTTCTGGACACACCAGGAGCTTGCCTGAACCTGAAAGTGTCTTATGTGACCAAGAAATCCTGCATGGTGTCCTGGGAGAACCCTGAGGACAATGGAGGCACTGAGATCACTCAGTACATTATTGAGCGCCGTCAGCCAAGCCAGAGAGGTTGGACAGTGGTCTCCAATGACTGCACCAAGCGCTTGATAAAGGCTCCTCTTACTGAGGGCTGTGAATACTTCTTCCGTGTCAGTGCAGAGAACAAGATTGGTGCTGGTCCACCTACTGAGTCCAAGACACCGGTGCTAGCAGTTGATCCAATTGAGAAGCCTGGCGAACCCATTGACTTCCATATTTCTGAGATTGGCAAGACCTTCTGCTTCCTCAAGTGGAGGAAGCCAGATTACGATGGCGGTAGTCGTAACCTAGGTTACCACATTGAGAAGAAACCAAAGGAGGCTGAGGAGTGGGAGAGACTCCACAAGGGTGCCATTAAGGAGACTTACTTCATGGCTGACAGATGTATTGAAAACCAGATCTACCTGTTTAGAGTTCAGACTAAGAATGAGGGAGGGGAGAGCAACTGGGTGACCACACCTGAGGTCCTTGTTAAGGAACTGCTTGTGGAGCCTGAGATCAAGATTAAACTTGATGGAACCCTCATTGTCAAGGCAGGAGACTCCATTCCTATCGAGGCAATAGTGAAAGGCAAACCACAGCCTGATGTCAAATGGACTAAGGATGAGAGCACAGAGGAGATTAAGAAGGGCCCCAGGCTTCAGATTGAAACAGGGGCGGACTTCTCAAAGCTGCTGTTTACCAATGCCAGGCGCAGTGACAGTGGCAAATTTGTTATCTCTGCCTCAAACAGTGCAGGAAGCTGCTCTGCTCAAGCCAAGGTCAATGTACTGGATAGACCAGGAGCCATCAGGGACCTTAAGGTGTCTGGTATCACCAATGACCGGTGCCATCTGGCCTGGGAAATTCCAGAGGATGATGGTGGCTGTGATATCTACAACTACATCATTGAGAAATGTGAGACCAAGAAGGGAATCTGGTCCGTCCACTCCAATGCTGTAATCACAAATAAAGCTAAAGTTACTCGCCTTATTGAGGGTAATGTATATATCTTCAGAGTTCGTGCAGAGAATAAAATGGGTCCTGGTCCTGCCGTACAGAGTGAGACCATTGTTGCTGGCACCCAGTTCAGTGTACCTGATGCTCCCGAAGCACCAGAAGTCACCAAGATTGCCAAGGAGGAGATGACTGTGCAGTGGTCAGAGCCAGAGAAAGATGGAGGGAAGCCAATCACAGGTTATCTGTTAGAGAAGAGGGAGGAGCATGCCATTAGATGGTCTCCTGTAAACAAAGATCAACTCCCTGGAACTCGTTCTACAGTAACTGGACTCCTGCCTCTCCATGACTACCAGTACAGAGTCAAGGCTGTCAATGAAATTGGCATTGGCAGCCCAAGCAAGCCTTCACGTGCCATCACTGCCAAAGATTCAGTTGGTATGTAACCAATAACAATGTTGACATTATTGTAATATTTGTTGTTAAATGTAGTTCATGTTCTTTGCTACAGACAAAATCCATGGCTTCATGTTCGCTTATCCTTATGTCTTCTTACAGAGCCTCCTGCCCCTCCCACCAACTTGAAAGTCCTGGACAGCACCAAGTCAAGTGTCACCCTAGGCTGGACCAAGCCTGTATCTGATGGTGGAGCTCCCATTATTGGTTATGTTGTGGAGATGAGGATGCAGGGAGCTCCCAAGAAAGGAGATGATGGCTGGAAGAGGTGTAACGTAGCAGCTCAGCTGGTCATGTGTGAGTTCACAGTCACAAGTCTGGATGAGAAGCTTGTCTATGAATTCAGAGTATCAGCTCAGAACCAGGTGGGCATGAGCCTGCCCTGCAACCTGGAGGGTGCTGTGATCCCCAGAGAGATTCTAGGTGAGGACCTTTTTAAATTTTCATTATTTTTGAAGAAACCAAGTGACATCTCAGGTGTACCTGGGATGATGATTTAATGTGTAAATAAGACTATAAGATCCCATTGAGTTTTGATTTTTAATTTTGATCAAGCTGACACCTACACTCTTTTACCAACAGAGGCACCAGAGGTTGACTTGGATGCTAACCTGAAGCAGGGACTGACAGTAAGAGCTGGCTGTCCCATCAGGCTTTGTGCCACCATTAGAGGCAGACCGCCTCCCAAAATAACTTGGAGAAGGATGGGCATTGACAACGTGGTCAGGAGGGGAAAAGTTGACATCATCGACACTATGACCTTCCTGGTCATCGCCGACAGCACACGTGATGACACTGGCAAATATTGCCTGACTCTGCAGAGTCCTGCTGGGGAGAAGGCTGTGTTTGTCAACGTTAAGGTTCTAGGTTAGTGATGCTTTTTTTGAGTAATTAATGTTCAAATCACAAAATGTGTTATTTTCAGCTCAATCAAACAAAATCTCAACAAAATCTAAATGTCATTATTTATTTGCTTCTGACAGACACTCCTGGACCTGTAATGAATCTGGAAGCAACTGACATAAAACAGACATCCATCATGTTGTCCTGGAGTCCTCCAGAGAACAATGGTGGAAGTGAGGTCACTCATTATATTGTTGAGAAGCGTGAGATTGATCGTAAGACATGGGCAACTGTCAAGGCTGAAGTTCAGGGGGACAAGATTCCCTTCAAAGTCAGTGGCCTAATGCCTGGAACTGAGTACAACTTCCGAGTCACAGCCGTCAATGAGTACGGTTCTGGTGTTCCCAGAGCGACACCCACTTCCTACCTGGCTTCTGATCCTGTCAGTAAGTACCATCTCCTCATCACACAATGTGACACAAAGCCTCAGAACTCATACAACTGCTCATTGTGCTCAGTTGTCTCTTTTCTTGTTCATTAGTCATCAGAAACATTTGAACACACCTGTCTGATTTCTTTTTTTTAGGCAAGCCAGATCCTTGTGAAAAGATTGAGGTTCTGGAGATAACTAAGAACAGTGCCGCAATTGGCTGGGTCAAGCCTGCGAGGGACGGTGGTGCCAAGATCGATGGTTATGTGATTGAATATATTGAGGTCAAACCTCCTCCACCACCTCCAGCACCTTTGGAGGTTTGTTTCTGGGTCAAAATACCCTACCTTCATTTGACAGATATTCATGCTCTCATATCATTTTGCAGCACAACTTCCTTTCTTATTACTGTGTAAATGTGAGGCATGACTGGTTAATCTACAATGCTCAACTTGCCACAGGTTACAGAAGGAGAGGGGGCCCCTCCACCACCTCCTCCACCTCCAGTGGAAGAGGAAAAAGAGGATGAACCTGAAAAGGAGGTGTGGAATGCATACACAACAGTGAAAGGTTTGACAATCAGCATCAGTGGCCTGAAGGAGGGCAAGAGGTACAAGTTCAGAGTGGCTGCCAAGAACATCATGGGCATGAGCTCATTCACAGAGACGAGGGAGCCTGTCGAGATCAAGGAACAGATGAGTAAGTTGTTTTGTCTGATTAATAAGGGATCATTAAGACGTAGTTTTGGCCATTATTCCACTATAGACATCAAGATAGACACTCAGCTCCCCCAGATAATCTGTTATCTTCTCATGTCTTGACCTGCAGTGGAACCAAAGATTGTCATGCCAGACACGGTGAGCGCCAGAGCCGGAGCCAAGCTCAGAGTGGAGGCTCTGGTGTCCGGAAAACCTTCCCCCGTTTGCAAGTGGATGCGTAGTGAGAATGCAGTTGTCCCATCCAGTCGTCTGGCAGTGCACCAGTCTGGCAACCTATGTGTCCTGATCATCAAAGATGTATCTAGGACTGACAGTGGAGAGTACAGTCTGATGGCTGAGAACAGCTCTGCAAAGGTGGTCCAGGCCCTGAAGATCATTATTAAAGGTCAGTGTCACCCACAAGAAGGTCATATGAGGAAATCAAAGTAATTTACATTTTGACGCTCAGCAAGAGAGAAATTGACTCATCTGACTTTTTTCTGTTTCAGATATCCCCGGTCCACCTGAGGGCCCTGTTGTCATTAGCGACATCGACTCTGATGCCTGCTCCCTGTCCTGGAACAAACCACTGGAGGATGGAGGAAGCAACATCACCAACTATGTGGTAGAGAAGTGTGACGTGAGCAGAGGTGACTGGATGACGGCTCTCTCTACCTGCTCAAAGACCAATTGCAGGCTTGGAAAACTAATTCCTGGAAAAGAATACATCTTCCGCATCCGTGCTGAGAACCGCTTCGGTGTGTCAGACTCCATTCAGTCTGACAGGATGGTTGCCAAGTTCCCCTTTGGTAAGTTTAAATTAGATATTTTTCCATGCAGGCCTTGCTTTAGATACAAGCCCTGTCTAAAGTTGAAAGTTTTTTTACATCAATTTGTTCTGTTTTGTCACAAGATGTCCCCAGTGAGCCCCTCAACTGCCGCATCAACAAGACCAACAAGGACTGCATGTTTGTAGCCTGGGATAAGCCGGAGAGTGACAGCGGCAGTCCCATTACAGGTTACTACATTGAACGTAAAGAGAGGAACAGCCTGTTGTGGGTGAAGGCCAATGACACAGTTGTCCGCACCACTGAGTACCCATGTGCTGGCCTCATTGAGGGCCTGGAATACACCTTTAGAGTGTCTGCCATCAACCGTGCAGGCCAGGGCAAACCAAGCAAGAAGACCGACTTTGTCACTGCCAGAACACCTGTTGGTATGTTTGCTGCCAGCACCTATGCAACAATCTTTTTTTATTTATTTAATCTCTTTTCTTAACCCCTGCTCATGTTCTGTTTGTTTCACAGACACACCAGGTAAACCTGAGATCTTGGATGTAGCCAAGAACTCTGTCACTCTGGTTTGGACCCGTCCGAAGAATGATGGCGGAAGTAAGATCATTGGCTACTATGTTGAGGTCATGCGGGTGCCAGGAGACACTTGGATCCGCTGCAACACCAGCAGTCAGAATGTACCAAGGGAGGAGTATACGGTTACTGGTCTGGAGAGAGACCTGACCTACCAGTTCAGAGTCATTGCCAAAACCGCGGTCAACATGAGCAAACCATCTGAGCCCTCAGACCCTGTCCTGGTCTGTGCTGAGAATGGTGAGGTTTTTATTTACAAATCTGAAACCACAGTAATAACAATGTCACAGTGTTTTAAGTTTGACAACCAAAATATTTGGAAGAAAGTGGACCTCAGCATTAGACTTATTTATCTTATCTTTAAACACAGTTCCTCCGAGAGTGGAGCTCAATGCCAGGATGCAAAAAGGTTTTAAGGTGAAGGCTGGAGCCACAGTTCTCCTGGAGGCTGAGGTGTTTGGCAAGCCCTTGCCCAGAGTGACCTGGAAGAAAGCTGACGACAGCTTGAAGTCAGGCGAAGGCCAGGTCATCACCCAGCAAAGGCATCACTTCCAGCTTGAGATGACAGGTGTCACCAAGGAACACACAGGGACTTACACCATCCTGGCTGAGAACGCCAGTGGCTCCAAGACTGCTGAGATTGAAGTCAATGTTCTGGGTGAGTACTTTTGTCTTTTCTTTAGGGACAGTTTCTGAAACTCTTAACAAGATAAAACTTGTAAGTTTTTCACAATCTGTCAACTGTATTCTACATGATGTACCCACAGCTTTACCAATCAGCATGTTGTGTTCAGTTTGCTGATACGGTGTATTTTTTGTATCCTTAGACGTGCCTGGCCCTCCTGTTGGTGCCAAATACACTGAGGTGTTCGCCACCAGTATCAAGCTTTTGTGGGAGCCGCCTTTGAAAGATGGAGGTGCCCCCATCAAGGGCTATATTGTGGATAAGCGTGAGACCAGCAGAGCTACTTGGGCCCAGGTCTCCACCAAGATCAAGGGTGATGTCCTTGAGTTTAACGTGGAGAAGCTGATCAATGGTCGCGAGTACCAGTTCCGAATCCGTGCTGAGAACATGTGGGGAGTTGGAGACCCCCTCATGACGAACCCGGTTATTGCCAAGAACCCATTCAGTAAGTCATTACCAGCATTTTGTCTGGGTCGTTACAGATTCAGATTGCCTTTATTGTCATTGAACGTGACTCAACGAAATTTTGATTGCTACGCCCCGTGGTACAACAAAAAAACAACATGTAATGACAAAAAAACAAGTAGTGACACAACAACATGTAATGACACAGAATATATGCAATAAATACAGTATGTAAAATGTAAACAGGTGACCAAAGTGCGGAGTGCATGATTGCAGTGCCAGTAGTCATTTTCAGACTCCCATTATTGTAAGTGGGAGTGCTTGCGTGTGGATGCAGGGGAAGTGGTATGTGTGAATGGGGTGTGTGTGAATGCATGTGTGGCTGCGGGGGGGGGGGTGAGTGTGTGAATGTTGCTGGTAATTACAACATCATTGAAAAACTGTAGCAAGTAGTGCTACAGATTTAATGTGATCCAAAATGGTTACAGAAATTATATGAGCAGCAGCTGTATTGCCCAATACTTGTTGTGACACTGAGTCAAAACTTTCTTATCCGCTGGTTTCACCAACAGCTGTCCCTGGTCCTTGTGAGGCCCCAGTGATCACCAATGTGACCAAAGATCGTATGACTGTGAGCTGGAAGGAGCCTGCTGATGATGGAAAGTCTATCGTCCTGGGCTACATGCTGGAAAAGAAAGAGGCCAAGGTGTTGAACTGGACAAAGCTGAACAGGAAGCCTCTGACTGAAAGGACCTTTGATGTTACAGGCCTTGCAGAGGGAGCTGAGTATGAGTTCAGAGTTATAGCAGTCAATATTGCAGGGTTTGGCAAACCCAGCGAGCCCTCTGCTGGCACCACTGCACAGAACCCCATCAGTAAGTCCCATCATTTCTAAAAATATCTCCTTCTTATAGCTTAAGAAGGTGCGTTTGATCTTTTATATGTAACTTAAACTGGATCAATGTGCTCTTCCCCAGCTCCGCCTGGCCCTGTTGTGAATCCCAGTGTGAAGGACACCTTCATCAGCGCCATCAGTCTCACCTGGACTGCCCCTGCCAACAATGGTGGAAGCCCCATCATCGGATATTTGGTGGAGTGCAAGAGAACTGACACAAAAGACTGGATCCGCTGCAACGTCCCCAGGAACCTGCAGGACACCAACTTTGTCATTCAAAACCTCATTGACAAGGCTGAGTACCAGTGCCGCATCACTGCCGTCAACAAGGTTGGCTTCAGCGAGCCAGTTGAAGTACCTGGCAAACATGTTGCCAAGGACATCATTGGTATGTATATCAAAAATTGAATTAACTTAATTCTTCCAGTTGTTCAATTTGCGTTAGTCTCACATTCTGAAAGAAACACACAGTTTTACATTCTGTAGTTCCATATTGTTTTAATGATGCATCATGTTCTAGCACTGCCTCTGTACAGTCACATGTCACATTGCAGTCATAATAAGAAAAGCAAGACTTTCCTCACACTGTCATTTCTAAAACTGTCCTCTGTATTTTTTTGTGTAGTTCCTCCAGAGGCAGAGCTGAGTGCAGCGCTAAAGGAAGTCCTGGAGCTGCGCGCGGGCACCACCATGAGACTGCAGGCCACCATCAAGGGTCGTCCCGCTCCCAAGATCACCTGGGCCAAAATGAACACCAACATCAAGGACCGCCAAGGCATCATCATCAAGTCCACCAACACTGACACCATGGTGATGGTGGAGAATGTCAACAGATATGATGCCGGCAAATACATTCTGAACCTGGAGAGTTTGGCTGGCATGAAGATGTACACAATTGTTGTCAAGGTTCTAGGTTAGTGAAGGACATACATGAACTGATCAGAAACAGGACCGAGCTGATATATGAAATGAAAATTGGGCTTTAGTCGATACATGTTGAAAGTTTAATTGTATTTCAACAGACACTCCTGGACCTCCAGTCAACCTGGTGGTGAAGGAGACATCCAAAGACAGTTCTTCCATCTACTGGGATGCTCCTCTGATTAATGGTGGCCACGAAATTACCCACTACATTGTGGAGAAGCGTGATACTGAGAGGAAGGCCTGGTCCATGGTCTCCAACAACTGCGCCAAGACAGCATTCGAGGTGCCAGACCTGGATGCTGGACGATCCTACTGCTTCAGAGTGTCAGCAGTCAACCAGCTTGGTACCGGAGAGTACTGCGAAACAGCCGATTCAGTCAGAGCAACAGGTGAGTTGGATGATAGCAAATTTTGTTGTTGGATGTCCTTTGTTTATTGATCTAGCAAATATTATTCTCACTTTGTTCATTTTACTTTTCTCAGAGGAGCCTGGGCCTGTCATGGACTTCAAGACCCTGCTGGTTACTAAAGACTCTTGCACTCTAAGCTGGAAGAAACCACTCACCGATGGTGGCAGTCGCATTATCTGCTATGTGGTAGAGGTTCTCAATGGTGATGACAAGTACAAGGAGCTAATGAGGTCCAAGAATATGCAATACAGTGCCAAGGACTTGGTGGAGGACAGAGAGTACACCTACAGAGTCAAGGCTGTTAATGACTCAGGAGAGAGTTCTGCCAAGGAGCTGAAAGTGGTTGCTAAGGACCAGATCAGTAAGTGTTTTTATTTATGAAACTTTCAGACTGAAAGCTATTAAAATATTTTTTTCTTTCCGTCTGCAGTTCATCCAAGCTGTGACTTGAAGGAGCTTCCCAACATGTGCTACATTGCCAAGGAGGGCAGCAATGTTCGTCTGAAGATCCCGATCATTGGTAAACCTACGCCCAAGGTCTCCTGGAAGAAGGGAGATGATGAAGATCTGACAGACACTGGCCGAGTGTGTGCAGAGTCTTCTGCAGTCAACACCACCCTCCTGATCAGGGACTGCCAGAGGAGTGATGCCTCCAAGTATACCATCACCCTGAGAAACAGTGCTGGGAGCAAGGAGTCCACCATCTTCATCAGGTAGAGATCAAATTATACCATGGCATGTAAAACAACATAAAAACTATGTTCCCGAGTAAATACTGGTAGCAATTAAACACATAACAAAAAGTGAACAATTTATATTATTTTACGTTTCTCCTTTTAGGGTGGTGGGTAAACCTGGCATCCCTATTGGACCCATTAAGTTCAAAGAAGTTACTGCTGATGGTGCTACACTCAAGTGGGCCGTTCCTAAGGACGACGGTGGCTCAGAGATCACCAACTATATCTTGGAAAAGAGAGACTCAGTGACCAATTTGTGGGTGACTGTGTCCTCCACTGTGGAGACCAACACCATGAGAGTGACCGGTCTCCATGAAGGCACAGAATACATCTTCAGAGTCTGTGCTGAGAACAAATATGGTGTTGGAGAAGGACTCAAGTCTGAGCCCATTGTTGCTAAACATCCATTCAGTGAGTGACTATAACATGCAGTATATTTAATAGCTAAGGATGGTAAAGTATTGAAATTTAGTTTTTTCTGACTTTTGTATTTTCACTGTTTTTCCACAGATGTTCCTGATGCTCCTCCTCCTCCTCAGATCATGAACATGCGTCACAACTCAGCTTACCTGGCCTGGTCCGACCCCAGGAAGACAGGAGGATCTCCCATCACAGGTACAGTCATCTTGAACTCATGTATGATTTGCCAAGCATTTTTTCTTCACTTGTTATTGAACTTTAATTGATAATTATATTATTGTGTGTGCCATGTGAGCTTATTATGGATTTCGCCTTTCCATCTTTGGTACAACATTCAGGTTACCATGTTGAGTTCAAAGAGAGGAACAGTATGTTGTGGAAGAGGGCGAGCCCAGTTCCCTTAAAGATGAGGGAACACAAGGTCACTGGGTTGACTGAAGGCTTGGAGTACGAGTTCAGGGTCATGGCAATCAACCTGGCTGGCATTGGCAGACCGAGTGCTCCCACTGATCCACAGGTGGCCCTGGATCCCATTGGTGGGTATAAAACATATAAAAGTGGCTTTCAAGTATAATAAAATACTAATTATGCAGAGATACAAAACTACATTTATATTTGATATCTGTATCTTTAGATGCTCCTGGTAAACCTGATGTCATCAGCATCACCAGGAGCTCCGTGACACTCCAGTGGACTGAACCACAGTTCGATGGAAGCCACAGGCTGACTGGCTACATTGTTGAGAGGCGCGACCTACCGTCTAAGATCTGGGTCAAGGCTAATAATGTGAATGTTGTGGATCCTGCATTTACTGTCACTGAACTGCAGGAGGGCTGCAAATATGAGTTCCGGATCAGGGCGAAGAATGCTGCTGGTGCTCTTAGCCCACCCTCTGAGCAGACAGATACCATCATCTGCAGAGATGAATATGGTGAGATCAACATGTAAAACAGTGTTAAAACCATCAGTTGAGACAATGTTACACTGAGTTAGAGACTGTGCATACTGCTTGAAAAATTAAATGGTTCCTGTTTCCTCCAACAGCGGCACCAACCATTACCATCGATGCTCATGTGTTGGAGGGTCTGACCGTCCGAGCTGGCGATACCATTGTCATTACTGCCACAAGCATAGTTGGCAAACCTGCTCCAACCTCATGCTGGTCAAAGGGAGGAAAGTACTTGAAACCCTCGGACCTTGTTCATATTGAGACCACTGCAACTTCCTCTACTCTGTCCGTCAAATATGCCAGCAGGAAGGACTCAGGGGAGTACATCATAACTGCCAGCAACCCCTTCGGTGTAAAGGAGGAAACTGTCAAGGTCAAAGTTCTGGATGTTCCTGGTACTCCTGGGCCTATTGAATGCAGTGGTGTCTCTTCTGAAAAGGTCACTCTGACATGGGCAGCTCCTACTGAGGATGGAGGCTCTCCTATCAAATATTACACCCTGGAGAAGAGGGAGACCACCCGCTTGCTCTGGACTGTTTTGGAAGAAAAGGTCATTGACTGTCACTATGTGGCCAACAAGCTCATCCAGGGCAACGAGTACTTCTTCAGAGTCTCTGCTTTGAACCAGTATGGTGCTAGCGAGCCATCTCACTCTGAGGCCGTCAAGATGGTTGATAGATTCGGTACGCACCGTTTATATTCTTTACTGCATTTTTCATTCTGCATTTGTGTCTATTACCACTGGAGGAATACAGACAAATACGATTTATTCATGAGTTTCTTTTATCAAAACGTTTAGGTCCTCCTGGTCCACCATCTAAACCAGAGGTTGAGAAAGTGGATGGACATTCAGCTACTGTAACCTGGAGGAGACCAACTGAGGATGGCGGAAGTGATATCATAGGTTACTGTGTTGAGAAAAAGGAGAAAAAGGCTATGAGATGGATCAGGGCCTCAAAGAAATCTATTGCTGAGCTCAGTTATGAAGTCACCAGTCTAACTGAAGGCATGGAGTATGAGTTCCGTGTTTTTGCTGAGAACAAAGCTGGCTTTGGAGAGCCAAGTGAACCATCTATGCCTGTTAGAACAATAGTTGCTGTGGGTAAGTAAAAAAGTATTTAATCTGGTAACAACAAACTGGCCATCAAACAACCAATTTAATTATTCAATTATGTTCATATAATTAGATTAAATGAAACAGTTTTTACAGAATGTTGTATTCAGTATTTGTAGGGTTTATGTGTATTCAAGACTAACCAATTGTTTTATATTTGGTAGATTTACCTGGACCTCCAGTCAATCCAAGGGTCACAGACACAACCAAGACCACTGCCACATTGAACTGGGGAAAACCTCTCGATAATGGTGGTTGTGAGATCACTGGATATGTAATTGAGCACAAGAAGGAAGGAACAGAAGAATGGGTCAAGGATACCCCTTCATCTCCACTTAGAATCACTGAATTTGTTGTTGCCGAGCTAGAAACCGGTGAAAAATACCACTTTAGAATTAGTGCTGTGAATGCTAAGGGGGCAGGTAAACCTGCCGAAACTCAGGAATTGGTTCAGATTGTGGAGCGTGCAACAGAGCCAGATTTGGAGCTAGATGTTGAGCTGAGAAGAACCCTTGTCGTTAGGGCTGGCTGCTCCGTTCGCCTCTTTGTGCCAATCAAGGGACGTCCTACACCAACAGTCACCTGGACTAAGGAAGGTGGCCCTGTCCCACGTGCAGTCATTGACAGCACTGAATCATTTACAATGTTACTCATTCCTGAGAGTTCAAGGATTGATGCGGGAAAATATGAGCTTACCCTTGAAAACACAACTGGAAAGAAGAGTGCTGATATACATGTGAGAGTTTTGGATTCTCCTGGACCTCCACTTAATCTAAAACCAATCAAGATTGACAAAGAAAGCATTACTCTCCAGTGGGAGATGCCTCTCATTGATGGTGGAGCCAAGATCACAAGCTATGTCATTGAGAAAAGAGAATCAACACGAAAGGCCTTTGCTACTGCTGTTACAAATTGCCCACACACTTCAGTCAGGATTGGTGAACTGGGTGAAGGCTGTGAGTACTATTTCAGAGTGTCTGCCGAGAATGAGTATGGTATTGGTGAGGCAGTCGAAACTGCAGATCCAATCCGTGCATCTCAGGCACCAACTCCTCCAGCGAGTGTTATTCCTACTGATATCACCAAGAATTCTGTGAGCCTGGCATGGACTAAACCCAAGCATGATGGTGGAAGCAGAATTACAGGCTACGTCCTGGAAGCCCAGAAGAAGGGATCTGATCAGTGGGCCCATGTAACAACAGTCAAGACCATGGATTTCACAGTAAAAAATCTGAATGAGAATGAAGAATACATTTTCCGTGTAATGGCTGTCAACCTGTCAGGCAGAAGCACCCCACGTGAGAGCAAACCCATTGTTGTTAGGGATTCCACAATGCTGCCTGAGTTTGACCTGCGCGGTGTGTGTCATAAGACTGTTATTGCTAAAGCTGGAGATGACATCAAAGTTGAGATCCCAGTTATGGGACGTCCTAGACCAACTGTCTCTTGGCAGAAGGATGGTGCAGCCCTGAAGCTCACACAGAGAACTAATGTGGAAACGACTCCTTCTACTGTTATCCTTAGCATCAATGAATGCAATAGAGCAGACAGTGGTGTATACACCATGACAGGAAAGAACATTGTTGGTTCTGTGACAGATAACATCACTGTCAAAGTACATGATGTACCTGGGCCACCCAAGGGACCAGTTAACATTGTGGAGATATCACGTACCTATTGCATCTTTGCCTGGGACCCTCCTGAGAATGAGGGAGGTGTTCCAATTAATAATTATGTGGTTGAGATCAGAGACACCACTTCCCAAACATGGACAGAGCTGTCTTCTACTATCATCCGTACCATGTTCAAAGCCATTCGGTTAACCACTGGGTCAGAATACCAGTTTAGGGTAAAGGCTAAGAACAGATATGGTGTTGGACCTCCCATCACCTCAGAGTCTGTGGTGGCTGCTTATCCATTTAAAGTCCCTGGACCTCCTGGTACTCCAAATGTTGTTGCATTTACCAAGGACTCTATAACAATTGGCTGGAATGAGCCTGTGTCTGATGGTGGAAATGAGGTAATTGGTTATCATGTTGAAAGGAAAGAAAGAAGCAGCATTATGTGGCATAAGATCAGCAAGGGTATTGTGAAAGGAAACATCTTTAAATCCACCGGGCTTGAAGATGGAGTTGCCTATGAATTCCGTGTAATGGCTGAAAACATGGCAGGCATTGGTAAGCCCAGCAAGGCCTCAGAACCAATACTGGCCTTGGACCCTGTAGACCCACCAGGCCATCCTGTACCATTATTTGTCAACAAAAATGTCATCACTATTCAGTGGACAAAGCCTGAGTATGATGGTGGATTCAAAATCACTGGCTACACAGTGGAGAAGAGAGAACTGCCGACTGGTCGCTGGATCCGAGCCAATTTCACTAACATCATTGAGACAACATTCACTGTCAGTGGACTGACTCAAGATGCCTCCTACGAGTTCCGTGTCATAGCCAGGAACTCTGCAGGAGCGGTAAGCATTCCATCTGAGCCTTCAGACCCAATTATGTGCAAAGATGACATAATTGAGCCACGCATTATGGTTGATGCCATCTTCAAAGATGTTGTTCTCCTGAAGGCAGGAGAGTCATTTAAGCTTGATGCTGACATTGCTGGTCAGCCAACACCATCTATGGTTTGGACCAAGAATGGAAAAGAGGTCGAGAACACAATGAAAATGGAGGTTAGGTTCACTGAACTGACAACCACACTGACCAACAAGGACTCTATCAGATCAGATGGTGGAGAATTTGTTTTGACTGCCACTAATGTTGGTGGATTTGCAAAGCACATCTTTAATGTTAAAGTGCTTGACAGACCTGGGCCACCTGTTGGACCTCTTAAGGTAACTGATGTCACAGCTGATAACTGCGTACTGACCTGGGCTCCACCTGCAGATGATGGTGGTGCCAAGATTGAAGGATATGTGATTGAAAAGCGTGAGTCAAGCAGACTGGTTTGGACCAATGTGGTTTCAGACCTGAAAGTTACACAACATATGGTGACGAAGCTGCTCAAAGGAAATGAATATATCTTCAGAGTTATGGCAGTGAACAAATATGGAGTTGGCGAGTCTCTTGATTCAGAATCCACTGTTGCAGATAACCCATACGTGGTTCCAGATTGTCCAGAGAATCCTGAGGTGACAGCTATCACTAAAGATTCAATGGTTGTTATGTGGCAAGCTCCCAAGAGTGATGGCGGAACTCCCATCACTCACTACAATATTGAAAGGAAAGACAAAATAGGCCTCCGCTGGGTCAAATGCAACAAGAGAAAGGTCAAAGATCTTCAGTTTAGGGCAGGAGGCCTTCTTGTCGGACATGAATATAAATTCAGAATAATTGCAGAGAATGCTGCTGGAGTGAGCGCACACAGTGTCTCCAGTCCATTTTACAAGGCAACGGATGCACTGTACATACCAGGGGCTCCATGTAACCCTAGAATCCTCGACACAACCAAGTCCTCAATTACTGTTGCCTGGAACAAACCTGTATATGATGGAGGCTCTGACATCACTGGCTACATTGTAGAAACCTGCATCTCATCTGAAAAGGAGGAGGAGGAATGGACCATTGTGACACCCAAAGAAGGTCTCCTTGCCACCTCATTCACCATTATTAACCTGAAAGAGAACCAGGAGTATAAAATCAACATTTCTGCTGTCAACAGTGAAGGAATTGGAGAGGCAGCATCTGTACCTGACAATGCCAAGGCAGAGGACAGGCTCCTCCCACCTGAAATCGATTTGGATGCTGAGCTCCGCAAAGTTGTCAGTCTTAGAGCTTGCTGCTCACTCCGACTCTTTGTGCCTATCAGAGGCAGACCATCTCCTCAAGCTAAATGGACTAAAGGAGATGGTGAGGCTATTGAGAGGGCAACCATTGACAGCACAACATCATATACATCACTTGTAATTGAAAACGTCAACAGATTTGACAGTGGAAGATATAATCTTACAGTTGAAAACAGTTCTGGCTCCAAGACAGTTACAGTCCAAGTCAGGGTGCTTGATACACCAAGTGCCCCACAGAACCTGAAGATTACTGCTGTAACAAAAGAAGCTGTCACTCTGACTTGGGAACCACCAGTGAATGATGGAGGAGCAAAGATTAAGAACTATATTGTTGAAAAACGTGAGTCCACAAGGAAAGCATATGCCACAGTCAATGCTCTCTGCCACCATACCACCTTCACAGTTTACCACCTCCTTGAAGGATGCAACTATTACTTTAGAGTTCTGGCTGAGAATGAATATGGCGTAGGTCTACCTATTGAGACTGGTGAATCCGTTAAAGTGTCTGAGAAACCACAGCCACCTGGCAAAGTCTCTCTTAAGGATGTTACCAAAAATAGTGTCACTCTCTCTTGGGAGAAGCCAGAGCATGATGGTGGCAGCAGAATAGGCTGTTATGTTGTTGACATCCAGCCTAAGGGTGTTGACAAGTGGACCCAGGCTGTGATTGTAAAGGAAACAGAAGCTACAATTAGTGGACTTAATGCAGGTGAAGAATACATGTTCCGTGTAGCAGCTAGAAATGAGAAGGGCACTAGTGACCCACGTCAAATTGGAGTGCCTGTGATTGTAAAAGATCTTGTGATTGCACCTGTTGCCAAAATGTTGTTCAACACATTTAGTGTGTTGGCTGGAGAAGACCTGACAGTGGATGTTCCATATGTTGCACGTCCCAAAGCAGCTATCTCCTGGGTAAAGGACGGTCAGCCTATGAAGAGAACTACCAGAGTAAACTTTAGTTCAACAGACACCTTGCTGAACCTCAACATAAAAGATGCTACTAAAGACGATGTTGGACACTACCTCATTACTCTTAGCAACACAGCAGGAGAGACAACAGCATTCATTGGCATTGTTGTTCTTGACAAACCCGGCCAGCCAGGTGGTCCAGTTAAGGTAGAGGAGGTCACTTCTGACAGTATAACTATCTCCTGGAACCCACCAGAATATGATGGTGGTTGCACCATCAAAAACTACATTGTGGAAAAGAGAGACACATCCACAACTAACTGGATGGTTGTATCTTCTAATCTTGCACGGACAAAAATCAAGGCAGGCAGATTGAAGACTGGCTGTGAGTATCAGTTTAGAATCACAGCAGAAAACAGATATGGAAAAGGCCCAACTCTTCAATCAGAGTGCATTGTGTCACAATACCCATACAAGCTCCCAGGACCCCCAGGAACACCATCCATTGCAGCCTGGACCAAGGACAGCATGGTGGTGATCTGGAATGAACCTGTGAACGATGGTGGAAGCCCTATCCTGGGCTATCATCTAGAGCGGAAAGAGAGGAACAGCATTATGTGGGTTAAACTCAACAAGTCTCTTATTACTGACCAAACCTTCAAGACCACTAGTTTGGAAGCAGGGATGGAGTATGAATACAGAGTTTATGGTGAAAACATTGTTGGAATAGGCAAAGTTAGCAAAGTGTCAGAGGGTCATGTTGCTAGAGATCCTTGTGATCCTCCTGGTACCCCAGAGGCAACAAAGATCACCAAAGACTCTTTGACAATTGTTTGGACCAAGCCTGAGTATGATGGAGGTGCAAAGGTTACAGGCTACATTGTGGAAAAGAAGGAGCTTCCTGAAGGTCGTTGGCAGAAGGCTAACTTCACGAACATCATTGAGACGGAATATGTTGCAACTGGACTTGTACAGGACAATCAGTATGAGTTCCGTGTCATTGCCAGAAATGCCGCCGGTGTTTTCAGTATGCCTTCTTATAGCACTGGCCCTATCACTGCAAGGGATGAGATTGAACCACCGCGTATCAGCATCGACCCAGAGTACACACAGACCATTGTGGTTAATGCAGGAGACAACTTCAAGATTGATGCAGATGTTAACGGCAAACCACTACCCTCTATCCACTGGATGAAGGGAGATCAGGAACTGGGCAACACTATTCATAGAGAAATTAAGAACACAACCACCAAGGCTTATATATCTATCAAGGAAGCAAAACTTTCAGATGGAGGCCAATACACTCTGCTTTTAAAAAATCCAGGAGGCGAAAAGACTGTACAGGTCAGTGTGGTTGTTCTAGATAAACCTGGAGAACCTCAAGGACCTCTTGTTGTTACTGGGATATCCAAAGACCGATGCTGCCTTGCATGGAAACCACCAATGCAAGATGGTGGTAGCAAGATTTCTCACTACTTGGTGGAGAGGAGAGAGACAAGCAGATTAGTCTGGACAGTTGTTGAACCCAAAGTAGAGAATATTTGTCTAAGGGTCACTAAGCTCTTAGAAGGAAATGAGTACATCTTCAGAATCCATGCTGTCAACCAGTTTGGAGTGGGTGCACCACTTGAGTCTTCTGCTGTCATAATCAAAGATCCTTATTTACCGCCGGGGTCACCCAGGAGCTTAGAAGTTTCAGATGTTAAAAAAGATTCAATGGTGCTCACTTGGGAGGCTCCCTCTGAAGATGGTGGCAGTCCTATCACTGGATATATAATTGAGAAACATGACAAAGAAGGAGTACGATGGACCAGATGCAACAGACAAACAGTCACTGACTTGACTTTCAAAGTAATCGGACTCATGGAAAACCACAGTTATGAATTCAGAGTTGTTGCTGAGAATGCTGTTGGTGTTTCGGAGCCAAGCTCCCCAACAGTATTCTACAAAGCTCTTGATCCCATTTTCAGGCCTGGCCCACCACACAATCCAAGAGTTACAGACACAACTAAAACATCAGTTTTCCTGTCATGGAGTAAGCCTGTCTGTGATGGAGGCTGTGAGATTCAGGGATACATTGTTGAGTGCTGCACTACTACAATGCCAGCAGTGCCAGATGAGGCATCTGCTCAAACCCAAGCTGCAGAGACACCTGCCACAGATGCACCTGCTGAGGAGTGGACAATGTGCACGCCACCAGCCGGTGTCAAGAAGACCAAATTTGAAGTTGCAAACCTGAAAGAAAACCAGGCATACAAGTTTAGAGTGTGTGCCATAAACAAAGTTGGAGTTGGTGAGCATGCTGATGTCTCTGGAGCTGTCGTTGCCCAGGACAGGGCAGAAGAGCCAGACCTTGACATTGACCCAGAACTGAGGAAGATTGTAACCATTAAAGCTGGAGCATCCCTTCGGTTGTTTATCCCCATCAAAGGAAGGCCCACTCCTACCATCAAGTGGGATAAGGATGAAGCTGCCCTTAAAGAGACTGCTCAGGTTGAGGTGACCAGCAGTTACTCATCCCTTGTAATTGATAAGATGAGCAGAACTGACAGTGGAAAATACACACTCACTGCCGCAAACTCCAGTGGAACCAAATCAGCATTTGTTGTAGTCCGTGTTCTCGACACACCTAGTGCTCCTGTTAACCTGAAAGTGACAGAAATTACAAATCAATCAGTGACACTGGCATGGGAACCACCTATGTTGGATGGTGGCTCCAAGATCAAGAACTACATTGTTGAAAAGAGAGAAACCACACGCAAAACATATGCAGCTGTTGTAACAAATTGTCATGCTCTTTCATGGAAGATTGAGCCACTGCAGGAAGGTTGTAGTTACTTCTTCCGTGTCATTGCTGAGAATGCACATGGTGCTGGCCTGCCTGCAGCGACTGCTGATGCTCTTAAGGTGTCAGAGGTGCCCCAGTCTCCAAAGAACTTGATCGTTACAGACCAAACCAAAACAAGCATATCTTTGGCTTGGGAGAAGCCCGAGTATGATGGTGGTAGCAGAGTCATCCAGTACCTGCTCGAGGTGCAACTTAAGGGCCAGGAAAAATGGTCTGGTGTTAACACATTTAAGACAATGGAGACTATTGTTTCCAATCTCAACCCAGGGGAGGAGTATCTCTTCAGAGTTACTGCAATCAATGATAAGGGCAAGAGTGACCCCAAAGTCCTTGCTGGTCCAGTAATGACGAAGGATTTAGTGTTTGAGCCTGATGTTCGTCCCGCATTCAGCAGCTACAGTGTCCATGTCGGCAAAGACATGAAGATTGATATTCCCATCTTTGGTCGTCCTAAACCAACAGTCACATGGACTAAAGATGGAGCTCCTTTGAAGTTCACCACCAGAGTCAATACTCTGAATACACCTACAGACACAACACTTAGCATTAAGGAGGCTGCAGGTGATGATGGTGGCATGTACAGTATAAACGTTGCTAACTCAGCTGGAAAGAAGGACACAACTGTTGAAGTCATTGTACTTGACAAACCTGGCCCTCCATCTGGCCCTGTAAGATTCAATGAAATCACAACACAGAGTATCACTATTTCATGGGACCCACCTAAACACAATGGTGGCTGCCAGATTTCAAACTACATTGTGCTGAAACGAGATACTACTACTACAACATGGGAAAACGTCAGCATCAACTATGCCAGAACCACCATTAAAGTGCCAAGACTGAAGACAGGAGCAGAGTACCAGTTCAGGATCATTGCTCAAAACCGCTATGGTAAGAGTCATGGCCTGGATTCATCTGCTGTGGTCGCTCAATACCCATACAGAGAGCCAGGCCCCCCAGGCACACCCTTCATTTCTTCTCTTTCTAGGGACCACCATGTTGTTGAGTGGCATGAGCCTGTCACAGATGGAGGCAGCCCTGTTCTTGGTTATCATCTTGAAAGAAAAGAGAGGAATAGCATTCTCTGGGTCAAAATCAACAAGACACTAATTCACGAGACAATCTTCAGGAGTCACCCCTTGGAGGAAGGTGTTGAGTATGAATACAGAGTTTATTCTGAAAATATTGTGGGTATTGGCAGGTGTAGTAAGATCTCAGAGGGCTGCAGTGCCCGTGACCCATGTGATCCTCCTGGTACACCAGAGGCCTCCCATGTGACCAAAGATACCATTGTCATTCAGTGGACTAAGCCCGAATATGATGGTGGCAGTAATATAACTGGCTATACTGTGGAGAAGCGTGACTTGCCAGAGGGCAGGTGGGTAAGGGCAAACTTCACTAATGTGATTGAGACACAGTTTACTGTGACAGGACTGACTGAAAATGCTCAGTATGACTTTAGAGTCATCGCTAAAAATGCTGTTGGCACCATCAGCAAGCCGTCCTACAACAGTGGACCAATTACTGCGAGTGACAAGTTGGAGGCACCCAAATTCTCCATTGACCCTGCATTCACCAAGACCATTATAATCAATGCTGGAGAGACATTCAAGCTTGATGCAGATGTCCGTGGAAAGCCACTGCCTACAATCCAGTGGTTCAAGGATGAAAAACCAATTGAGAATACACTCCGACTTGAGATTAAAAACACAGAAAACCATGCAATGATCCTCATTAAGGACTCCATAAGGATTGATGGTGGAATGTACATGCTCCAACTGACAAATGAGGCTGGCAGTGAAACTGTGCCATTTAAGGTTGTGGTCCTGGACAAACCTAGCTCATGTGAGGGACCCCTCCACATCACTGGGGTAGCTGAAAATAGATGCACACTGGTATGGCGCGCCCCTCTTCATGATGGAGGTAGTCCTATTAAACATTACATTATTGAGAGAAGAGAAACCAGCCGTCTAGCTTGGACTGTTGTTTCTAACAGCTGTGAGACCACAGCCTACAAAGTCACGAAATTACTGGAAGGTAATGAGTACATGTTCCGTGTCATGGCTGTTAACAGTTACGGTATCAGTGAGCCACTTGGATCTGGTGGAGTGATTATGAAGACACCATTTGTTCCTCCTGGTCCACCTCACATTGAGGATGTATCAAACATTGCCCATGATGGCATGACCATTAGTTGGTCCGCCCCTGAGAGTGATGGAGGCAGTGAGATTACCAATTACTTAATTGAAAAGAAGGACAGAAGTGGAATCAAATGGACTAGATGCAATAGGCAGAAGGTCATGGACCTCTCCTTCAGAGTTACGGGATTAGCCACAGGCCATGAGTATGAGTTCAGAGTAGTTGCAGAGAACATAGTTGGAGTGGGAGAACCAAGTCTTCCAAGTTCAAACTACAAGGCCTGTGATCCCAAGTACAAGCCTGGCGCCCCAGCATATGTGAATGTTATTGACTCCTCAAAGAGTTCTATAACAGTATCATGGGGTAAGCCTCTATCTGATGGTGGCAGTGCCATTCAAGGGTACATTGTTGAAGTCTGCAAGGCTGAGCAGGAGGAATGGTCCATGGTTACCCCCCCTACTGGCCTACGTGTCAACAAATATGAAATTACCAAACTTACTGAGGGTCAGGAGTACAAGATACAGGTGTGTGCTCTGAACAAACTAGGAGTTGGTGAGGCGGCAGTTCTCTCTGGAACAGCAAAGCCAGAAGAAAGAGTGGACCCACCAGAGATCCGCTTGGACTCTGAGCTGAGGAAGGGCATCACTGTGAAAGCTGGTGGATCTGTTAGAATCAATATTCCATTTAAGGGCAGGCCAACACCTGAGATTAAGTGGACTAAGGATGAAGGAGCCCTGACTGAAAAGGCAGTGCTTGAGAAGGCTCCCAACTTTACACAGCTGTCCATTGACTCGTGTGACAGGAGTGATTCAGGAAAATACACCCTCAGTCTGACCAACAGCAGTGGCTCTGTGTCTGAGTTTGTTGCTGTCAAAGTCCTGGATACACCTGGAGCCCCACAGAATCTTGTGGTCAAAGATGTGAAAAAGGACTCTGTCACTCTTGTATGGGATGTTCCAATGATTGATGGGGGTTCCAAAATTAAGAACTATGTAATCGACAAACGTGAATCAACCAAAAAGGCATATGCAAATGTGTCCACTAAATGCACCAAAACAACATTCAAAGTTGAGAACTTATTTGAAGGTGCTATGTATTACTTCAGAGTCATGGCTGAGAATGACTATGGGGTCGGCCAAGCTGTTGAAACAAAAACAGCGTCCAAGGCCTCTGAGGTCCCACAGCCTATTCGAAATGTCTTCCTCACTGATGTCACCAAGGCCAGTGCTTCACTGGCATGGGAAAAACCAGAGCATGATGGAGGAAGTAGAATTGCTGGCTACCTGATTGAGATGCAGCCTAAGGGTACAGATAAGTGGGGAGTTGCAACAAATACAAAGACATGTGAGGGCACTGTCACAGGACTCACAGCTGGGACAGCATACCTATTCCGTATTATTGCTTACAATGAGAAGGGGAAGAGTGAACCAAAGGCACTTGCTGCACCGGTTATTGCCAGTGACATGACCATGGAGCCAAGCATTAAGATGCAATTCAACACTTACAGTGTATTGTCTGGAAAAGACCTAAAGTTGGAATTCCCTGTGCTTGGCAGGCCCAAACCTAAAGTCACCTGGACCAAGGATGGTCAGCCTTTAAAGGTGACATCCAGAATCAATGTGGTAAACACTCCAGCAACAACAGCAATTCAGATTACTGAGGCATGCAAAGAGGACTTAGGTAAATACTCCATTACAGCAACCAATGCTGCTGGTACAATCACTGAGGATGTGGGTGTCATTATCCTTGACAAGCCTGGTCCACCAACAGGTCCAATCAAGATTGTTGAAGTGAGCAACACCTTTGTCCATCTTGCCTGGGAGCCCCCAGTGTACACAGGTGGATGCCAAGTGAAGAACTATATAGTAGAGAAGAGAGACACGACTACCACAACATGGCAGTCAGTCACCACACAGCTTGCTAGAACTGCTTTCAAGGTCACCAAGCTGAAGACTGGTGCGGAATACCAGTTCAGAATTATAGCTGAAAACAGATATGGAAAGGGTGCTTCACTGGACTCCAAGTCCATTGTCATACAATATCCATACAAAACACCAGGACCTCCTGGAACACCGAATGTCAAATCTGCAACAAAGGAAATGATGATCATTGAATGGAATGAGCCAGTCATTGATGGTGGAAGTGCAGTCGTTGGTTACCATCTGGAAAGCAAAGAGAGAAACAGCATCCTGTGGAACAAACTGAACAAGACTCTCATCACTGATACTCTGTTCAAGATCTGTAATCTTGAGGAGGGTATCGGATATGAATTCAGAGTTTATGCTGAAAATATTGTTGGAATTGGTAGATGCAGTAAAGTGTCAGAGTCTTTTGTGGCTCGTGACCCATGTGATCCTCCAGGGGCCCCGGAAGCTATATCTATTTCTAAGAATCTGGTCAAGATTCAGTGGACTAAACCTCAGTACGATGGTGGCAGCAAAGTAAATGGATATATTGTGGAAAGGAAAGATGTTTCCTCCCCCGATGGACGCTGGGTAAGAGCTAACTTCACTAATATAATTGAGACTGAATATACCATCACTGGTCTGACAGAGAATGAGCAATATGAATTTAGAGTTATTGCAAGAAATGCAGCAGGAGTCTTCAGTGAACCATCAGACAGCTCTGGACCTATTACTGCTACTGATGAAATTGAACCACCAAGGGCCTCAATGGATCCTAAATACAAGGATGTCATTCTTGTTAATGCTGGAGAACACTTGGTTCTTGATGCAGACATTCATGGAAAACCAATTCCAGATGTTGTCTGGCTAAAAGAGGGCAAAGAAATGGGTAAAGCCCTGCGCATTGAAGTGAAAACTACACAGAAGCGTGCAGCCATGACCATTAAGGATGTAACCAAGCTTGACAGTGGCCACTATGACCTTGTCCTCAAAAATCTGGGTGGTACCAAAACCTTCCCTATCACTGTCAAAGTTCTTGATAAACCAGGTCCACCCACTGGACCCATGAAAGTGACAGGGGTCATGGCTGACAGGTGTATCCTTTCCTGGTCTGAGCCAGCTCTGGATGGTGGGGCCAGTGTCATTCACTATCTCTTGGAGAAGAGGGAGACTAGCAGGTTGTCATGGACAGTGGCTGCACCAAATATCAAGGGTCTGTTCCATAAATTAAAAAATTTGCTCCCTGGAAATGAATACATTTTCAGAGTCAGAGCAGTGAACAAATATGGTATTGGTGATTATCTGGAAAGTGAACCCACAATTGCACGCAATCCATACAAGCCACCCAGTGCTCCTGGAACTCCAGAAGCCAGTCAGATCACAAAGGATTCAATGGTTCTGTCATGGACCCCTCCAGAATACAATGGTGGAGCTGATATTGAAGGCTACCATCTTGAAAAACGTGACAAAGATAGTGTAAGGTGGACAAAATGCAACAGACAAAAGCTGACTGACACACACTTCAAGGTCACAGGTCTGATGACAGATCACTTCTATGAGTACCATGTTGCTGCTGAAAATCAGGCTGGAATGGGTGACCTCAGTGAACTGTCCCTCTCCTACAGAGCATGTGATGCTACAACACCCCCTGCACCTCCACACCATCCTAAAGTGACAGACTACACTAAGTCGTCTGTGTCTTTGTCATGGAGGAAACCTGACTTTGATGGTGGTGCATACATCAAGGGCTACATTGTTGAGATGAGGGAGTATACACCAGTGCCCGAATCAACAGAGGAGGCAGAAGTAGCACCAGCAGTAGGGGCACCAACTGAAAAAGAATGGACTATGTGCACTCCATCCACTGGCATTCAAGCCACTAAACTCACTATCACAGACCTGAAGGAGGGTGGAGAGTACCAGTTTCGTGTCTGTGCTCTCAACTCTGAGGGTGTTGGGGAGGCTGCTAATGTCAGTGGCACTGTGCTTACATCTGATAGAGAGGAAGCACCAGAGATTGAGCTGGATGCTGATCTCAGAAAGGTGGTATCTGTGCGTGCTGGTGGAACTCTGCGTCTGTTTGTCGCCATTAGAGGAAGGCCTGAACCTGCTGTTAAATGGGAAAAGGTTGAGGGTACTCTCACAGAGCGCGCTGCAATTGACACCACCAGTTCATACACCATGCTTGTCATTGACAATGTCAACCGCTTTGACAGTGGGAAATACTCGCTTACCCTGGAGAACAGCAGTGGTACAAAATCTACTTTTGTTGTAGTGAGAATTTTGGATACACCAAGTGCACCACAAAACTTTGGTGTAAAGGAGGTCAAGAAGGATTCAGTGACTCTTGCCTGGGATACTCCACTCACTGATGGTGGATCTAAAATCACAAACTACATTGTAGAGAAGAGAGAGTCTGTCAGGAAGGCTTATACTACGGTCACCTGCATCTGCACAGCCAACTCATTCAAGATTGAAGAGCTACCTGAGGGTGGAACTTTCTACTTCAGAGTCTGTGCCGTTAATGAATATGGCCCAGGACAGATGGTTGAAACCAAAGAAATCAAAGTATCTGAGGTACCTCTGCCACCAAGCAAGGTTACGCTTGTTGATTTGACAAAGACCAGTGTATCACTGGCATGGAACAAACCTGCCCATGATGGTGGAAGCAAAGTGATGTGCTACAATGTAGAATTTAAGCCTAAGAGTGGAGATAAATGGGGCACAGCCTGCACAGTCAAGGTGCCTGAAGCAAATATTCCTAATCTGACTCCTAATGAAGTCTATTTATTCAGAGTTGTTGCAATCAACGAGAAAGGAAAGAGTGAGCCGAAGGATCTAGGCTTGCCTGTGGTTGCAAAGGATGTTGCAATTGAGCCCTCGGTTAACTTACTTTTTACCACATACAGTGTGAAGGCTGGGGATGACCTCACTCTTGAGGTTCCTGTAAGAGGCAGGCCAAAGCCTGTTGTATCCTGGAAGAAAGATGGTCTTCCTTTAAAACAAACATCATCAGTGACCATCTTAAACACTGCGACCTCATCCAAAATACTCATCAAAGAGGCTAGCAGAGAACACGTTGGCAAATATGATATCACCCTGGCCAACACAGGAGGAACTGTCACAACAGATATTGCAGTAGTTGTCCTTGATAAACCAGGTCCACCCAAAGGTATTAAAGTAGATGCTGTGACCTCAGACAGCATCACACTGTCCTGGTCACCACCAGATTATGATGGTGGCTGCTCCATCAGTAACTATATTGTAGAGAAGAGAGATACAAACACACAAGAATGGCAAATGGTTGCAAGTAATGTTGCCAGGACAAGTTTCAAGGCTGGCCGCCTCACACATGGTGCAGAATACCAATTCCGTATCTATGCAGTCAACCGTTATGGAAAGAGCACATATCTGGATTCACCTGGAATTTCTGCTCAGTATAACTTCAAACAACCTGGACCTCCTTCAACGCCCATAGTGAAATTGGCCACCAAGTCTTACATGTTTGTGATCTGGAATGAGCCAGTCAATGATGGTGGAAGTTCTGTTCTGGGCTACCATCTCGAGAGGAAGGAGCGTTCCAGCATTCTCTGGACAAAGATGAACAGAGGAATGATTAAAGATACAGAATACAAAGTCAATGGAATAGAAGAGGGCATGATGTATGAATACCGTGTTTATGCTGAAAATATTGCTGGCATTGGTAAATGTAGCAAAGCTTGTGAAGCTGTAGCAGCCAGAGATCCATGTGATCCCCCAGGCACACCTGTGGTCACTGCAGTTACCAGAACATCGGTCTCCCTTTCTTGGGATAAACCAGAGTATGATGGTGGAGCAAAGGTTTCTGGCTACATCATTGAACGCAGAGATCTTCCAGAAGGACGCTGGACAAGGTGCAACTTTACCAATGTGCCAGAGACCCACTATGATGTGACAGGTCTTACAGAAAATAGCCAGTTCGACTTCCGTGTCATTGCTAAGAACGCAGCTGGATTGTTCAGTGAACCATCTGACAACACTGGCTCCATCACTGTCAAGGATGATGTGGATCCACCACGCATCATGATGGATGTAAAGTTTAGAGAGACAGTGTTTGTGAAAGCAGGTGAAACTCTGAAGATTAACGCTGACCTTGCTGGGCGTCCTGCTCCTGTCATCTCCTGGAAGAAGGATGACAAAGATATTGAGTTGAGAGCCAGAATCCAAATAATCTCTACAGATTCCAGCACTTCTGTCATTGTTAAGGACTGCATCAGAAGAGACTCTGGAAAGTATGCCCTGACTCTACAAAATATTGCCGGAACAGTTACTATGCCAATAAACTGTGTAATTATTGATAAGCCTGGACCCTCAGCAGGACCTCTGCAGATCACAGGTCTCACAGCTGAGCATTGCACCCTGTCATGGGGTCCTCCTCAGGAGATTGGTGGTGCTGATATCACACATTACATTGTTGAGAAGCGTGAGACCAGTCGCTTGGCATGGACACTGGTTAAGGGAGACATCACAAAAACATACTTCAAAGTCACAGGACTGCTAAAGGGCAATGAATATATCTTCAGGGTTTTGGCTGTCAACAAGCATGGACGTGGTGAGGCCCTGGAGAGTGATACAGTAAAGGTTACAGATCCATACACTTTTGCCACTGCCCCAGCTAATGTTGATGTGATGACCATAACTGGAGATTCAATGACCCTCACCTGGTGCAAGCCAACCTGTGATGGAGGCAGCCCCATCACTGGATATGTAATTGAGCGACGCGAGAAGACAGGAATGCGTTGGGTCCGAGTGAGCAGAGATCCAGTTGTTGAATGTAGCAGTGTAGCAACCAAACTGCGCAAGGGTTGTGAGTATGACTTCAGAGTCTATGCTGAAAATGCTGCTGGTCTGAGTCCTCCAAGTGAACCATCTGCAACATTCAGAGCAATTGATCCTCTGGTCGTTCCCTCCCGCCCAACCAAGCCAAAACTTGTCAATTCAACCAAGGACACGGTGTCCATTGTCTGGAAACCACCAACAGATGATGGTGGTGCTCCCATCCTTGGATACAGTGTCGAATACAGAGACTACATCTGCAAACCAGAGCCAGAGGTAGAGGAAGAAGAGGAAGAATATGAGGAGGATGAAGAGGAATTACTTGAATCCCCTGAAGATCTGGCAAGATGGGTTGAAGCTATCCCTCTTACCAAGAGCATGGAATTCACAATCACAGGACTTAAGACTGATGCAGAATATGAATTTTGTGTCAAGGCACTAAACAAAGTTGGCAGTAGTGTGCGCAGTCCATATTCATTACCAGTTGTAGCAATGGACAGAACTGCAGAGCCATCATTTGATGTCGATATTGAGATGCGTAAAGTACTTAGTGTTAAACATGGCGCAGCATTTACTCTAAATGTTCCATTCAAGGGAAAACCTGTGCCATCAGTGGAATGGGCCAAGGAGGGTGTTGATCTTAAAGTCAGAGGAACCATTGAATCAACAGATTCTAGCACTTCACTGACCATTGACAAGTCCACTAGAAATGACTCTGGAGAGTACAGTGTCACAATAGAATCACCACTGGGAAAAGCAACATTGCCTGTGGTTGTCAAGGTGCTTGACTCTCCTGGACCCCCTGTCAATGTCAAAGTGTCAGCAGTAACTAGGGATTCTGCAACCCTCACTTGGGAAGCTCCAGAGAATGATGGTGGTGATGCAGTGAAGGTCTATCATGTTGAGAAACGTGAAGCCAGTAAGAAGGCCTGGGTGTCTGTGACCAGCAACTGCCATACACTGGCTTACAAGGTGGAAGACTTACAGGAGGGCGCCATCTATTACTTCAGAATTATTGGAGAAAATGAGCATGGAGTGGGTGTCCCTCAGGAGGCCAAGGCTGGAACCAAGATTACAGGTAACAAATGAACATACTACCTAATAGCTTGATTTATTTTATAGCATTCATCATTTAAGCAAAATGTGTTTCATAAAACGTATTACTGTCTATTACAGAGGCACCAAGTCCACCCATGAAACTTGGAGTTGCAAATGTTACCAAGGACAGTATCACAATTGCCTGGACAAGACCAGAGTATGATGGTGGTAGCAGAGTTGCTGGTTACCTTATAGATGCTCTGGAGAAAGGACAGACCAAGTGGGTGAAGTGTGCCACTGTGAGGAGTCTGACTCACACCATCAAGAACCTGAGGGAGAATGCGGAGTACTTCTTCAGAGTGAGAGCTGAGAACCATGCTGGACTCAGTGAACCCAAAGAGATGATCGTACCAGTTATTGTTAAAGAAATACAAGGTATTATCTAAACTTTTAAAACAATATTTTGATATAAATTACTTTATTCATATCATAATTTGTAATTATCACTTAACAACAGGATACGACTGATAAAAAACATTATGTAATATATTTCCACATAGGGGTTTTCTTTTCTGCAGACTAATGATGGGAAATGCTGTAATACAATGTTTATATAATAAAAACGAATGGGGGTACTAGTCGTGAAGTGACATTACCTATCATAGTCCTGTCTTGTTTTTTCAACAGAGGCGCCAGAGTTTGACCTGACGAACTACCCGAAGAACACAGTTTATGTCAAAGCAGGATCTGACCTGACCTTTGAGATTCCTCTCACTGGCAGGCCCATGCCGAAGGTGACACTATCCAAGAACAACGTTGTCATCAAGGGATCAAAGAGGCTGCTGACAGAAGTGACACCAGACAGCTTAATCATCACTCTAAATGAAAGCATTGCAAGTGATGCTGGCAAATATGAAGTCACTGCCTCAAATGTGGGAGGTACCACAAAGATCTCTGTTATCTTCGTTGTGTTGGACAGACCCGGACCTGCTGGTCCAGTTGAGATCGGAGAAATTGGCGAGACAACAGTGTGTCTGAAATGGGCTCCTCCAGAATATGATGGTGGCAGTCCTGTTACTAACTATATTGTTCTGAAGCGTGAAACCAGCACTCCCACCTGGGCCGAAGTCTCAACTAACATTGCCAGAAGTTTGATCAAGGTGACTAAGCTGACCAAGGGAGAGGAGTATCAGTTCAGAATCAAGGCTGAAAATCGTTTTGGTGTCAGTGACCACATTGACAGCAAATCGGTCATGATAAAGCTTCCATACAGTAAGTCAGACCACTTTACCATCATGTAGATTTACTGATCCTGTTAATTCCTTCACAATAAACATCATTCATTGTACCTCTTGTTGAATCAGAGTTGACATAGTTAATCTAACTACTTCCATGTCATGATACAGCTTTTTTTTTATGGATGATGAATCAATCTGAATAAACAACTTACATGAGTACTGTCCATTGCAGCCATCCCTGGACCTCCTTCCACACCTTGGATCAGCTTTGTATCGAGAGAGAGCCTGACAATCTGCTGGAATGAGCCAGTAAATGATGGTGGAAACCCTGTGATAGGATATCATCTACAGATGAAGGAGAGGAGCAGCATCCTCTGGCAGAAGATCAATAAGACAGCGATCCCAGCAAACCAGTGGCGAGTTACTAACATCTGCCCTGGCCTCATCTATGAGTTCAAGGTGGCAGCTGAAAATGCCGCTGGTATTGGAAAGCTCAGCAAGACCTCTGAGGAGGTGCTTGCTATTGATGCCTGCGGTGAGTGTTTTAAATTTCGATCTATATCTGTATTTTTAACCACAGCCTCAAACAGTATGAGCTCACACTTACTATTTACTTTTGTTTTATTAAAATTTGATCTGTATCACTTTAATGTGCAGAGCCTCCAGCAAACGTCCACATCACAGAAGTCACAAAGAACTCAGTCAGCTTGGCCTGGCAGAGGCCTCCATATGATGGTGGCAGCAAGATTACCGGCTACAGTGTGGAGAGAAGGGAAGCTGCCAGTGGAAGATGGGTGAAGGCCAACTTTACCAATATTATTGAATTGGGTTTCACTGTATCTGGACTCAACCAGGATGAGTCTTATGAGTTCAGAGTGTATGCCAGGAATGCTGTTGGTTCTGTCAGCAACCCATCTCTGATTGCTGGCCCAGTCATTTGTGTCGACGCATGTGGTGAGTTTAAATTTTTCTATGGTTACATGTCATGTTAACTTTAATTTGACCTATTTATACATTGCTGTTATATTAATATCTTATGTCCCACAGGTGCACCAGCCATTGACCTTCCTCCAGAGTATCTTGATGTGGTTCAGTACAAGGCTGGAACATCAGTTAAGCTCAGAGTGGGAATTATTGCCAAACCTCTGCCAACCATTGAGTGGCTCAAGAATGGAAAGGAGCTGGTAGCAAGCTCTACTGTGTCTGTGGAAAGTACAACAGACTTCTCTGCTGTTCTGATCAAGGATGCAAGTCGCTTTGACACAGGCTCATATGAGGTCAAGATCAAGAATGTTCTCGGATCGGCATCTGCTACCATCAGGATTGAAATCCTAGGTATTTAGAAATTCATGCTTCACACTTTGACGTTTCCACAGTTCTGAATTCCTGGGCACACTGGTAGCCCACTTGATTAAGCCTTTATGATTAATGTTGAGATCCTGCATTTGTTGCAGTGAAGTGAATTTAATGCAACTTTCCATCATCATCTCTGTATTAAATGTTCTCACGCTTTCCCTTAGACAAACCTGGACCTCCAGCAGGCAACATTAACTTCAACTCCATCACAGCAGACAATATCATCTTCAGCTGGGAATCTGTGCCCAAGTCTGACCAGGGAGGTTCTAAGGTGACCCACTATATTGTTGAGAGGCGTGAAACCAGCCGAGTGGTCTGGTCCACTGTGTCAGACAAGCACGAACAGACATATGTCTCTGTTGGCAAGCTGGTGCGTGGAAACGAATATGTTTTCCGCGTCATGGGTGTTAATAAGTATGGAGTTGGAGAGTCACTGGAATCCGAGCCTGTCATCGCTAAGAATGCCTTTGGTAAGTTTTGGTGCCATAAAGTGCTGAATATGTTGTTGAAAGTTTCATATCGAGTAACTACATGCTGTTTAGTGAACATCAAATCATTAATCTGCAGCAACTGTCCCATGTCTTTTTTCTTGAGGTTTTATTAAACAAATGTGTTTCTCATTAGCTTGCCATTTGTATTTCCTCACCATATTTTGGTCCACTTTTGCAGTGACTCCTGGCCAGCCTCGTACTCCTGAAGTGAACATCATCACCAAGTCCACCATGGTGGTAGAATGGGACAAACCAGGTGTAGATGGAGGCAGCACTGTGACTGGCTACTACCTGGAAAGACGTGACAAGAAGAGCTTGCGCTGGATCAGAGTTTACAAAGACCCTGTCACTAATATCAAACAGACTGTGTACCACCTGACAGAAGGAAACGAGTACCAGTATCGGGTCTGTGCCATTAACAAGGCAGGAGAGGGCCCATTCTCTGATGTATCAGACTACTACAAGGCTGCCGACCCAGTTGGTAAGTCAACTAACATTCACAAAGTGGCCAATAAAAAGCAAAAGATAAATGAACAGCTTGAACTAACAAACACATATATTATTTACAGATCCACCATATGAGCCTTGCAAGCTGAAAGTGGTGGACTCCACCAAGACATCTATCACCTTGGGCTGGTCCAAGCCAGAATGGGATGGAGGCAGTGAGGTCACCAGCTACATGGTTGAGAAGCTTGTTGAGGGAGAGACAGAATGGGCTATGATTACCTCTAAGGGAGAGGTCAAGACATCAGAGTACACTGTTCATGACCTAAAACCAGACGTCAACTACTTCTTCAGAGTATCTGCTGTCAACTGTGTTGGCCGTGGAGAACCTCTGGAAATGATTGAACCTGTGCAGGCTAAAGATATCCTTGGTAAATGTTTCAGTGATATTGATAACGTGAAGTTTGTGTCTTGTTTTGTTGTAACTCACATTTAGCATTCTCTGTGTAACCCTGAATATGTTTAATGATTTTCACAGAGGAGGCCCAGATTGACTCAGACGTGGCCATGAGGACTCACTACATTGTGAAGGCTGGCAAGGATGTGGAGCTATCTGTTCCTCTGAAAGGCCGACCTGCGCCCACTGCTTCATGGAGCAAGGGAGACGAATGCATCGATCGTAACCCCAAATATGAGTTCCACCACTCAGACACAACCACAGTCCTTGTTATGCGTGAGGTGACCAGGCTTGACACTGGAAAGTACACACTCAGGATAGAAAATGGTGTGGGAGAAGCCAAGACTCTGACCCTGTCCGTGAAAGTCCAGGACACCCCAGCTCAGTGCAGAAACCTGGTGCTCAAGGACGTGACTCGTGGAAAGGTTACTCTCTTCTGGGAGCCTCCACTACTCGATGGTGGTGCCGAGATCACAAACTACATTGTTGAGAAGAGGGACTCCTCCAAGAGATCCTTCTCTGCAGTGACAAGCAAATGCACAGACACGACATACACTATTGAAGATCTGTCTGAAAAGACATCCTTCTTCTTCCGTGTGTTAGCAGAGAATGAGAATGGTGTTGGTGATCCATGTGATACACTTGAGCCTGTGAAGGCCACAGAGACTCCAGGACCAGTCAAGGAGGTCTCTATGAAGGATTCATCAAAGACATCTGTCACTCTGCAGTGGCTGAAGCCTGATTACGATGGTGGCAGCATCATCTCTGACTACGTCATTGAGAAGAAGCTTAAGGGCGAGGAATGGTCATCTGGAGGAACCAGCAGACAATGTGAGTTTGAGGTCAAGAAACTCAAGGAGCACTCGGAGATGTTCTTCAGAGTGGCTGCCAGAAATGAGAAGGGACAGGGTGATTTTGTTGAGACTGGACCCATCAAGGTCATTGACTACATCATCACACCTGAGGCAAGCCTTGCTGAGTACCCAGATGGCAGAGTCAGTGTTCGCCTGGGTCACAATGTGCACATTGAGCTGCCATACAAAGGTAAACCCAGACCTGCTATTCTGTGGCTGAAAGACAATCTGCCGCTGAAGGAGAGTGACCAAGTTCGCTTTAAGAAGACAGAAAACAAAGCCACTCTGATGATAAAGAATGTGAAGAAGGAAAATGAGGGTAAATACACCCTGACCCTGGACAATAAAGTCAACAGGAGATCCTTCCACATTCATGTCATCACACTTGGACCACCATCAAAGCCTGTTGGCCCCATCCGACTGGATGAAGTGAGAGCCGAGAGAATCATGATCTCCTGGGATGAACCCAATGATGACGGTGGTGGAGATATCACCTGCTACACAGTGGAGAAGCGTGACACGTCCCAGTCGGACTGGAAGATGGCTTGCTCTAGTGTAGAAGGTACTCAATTTAAGGTCTCCAATCTGATCAAGGGTGTCCAGTACCAGTTCAGAGTGTGTGCTGAGAACAGATATGGAGTCAGTGAGCCTCTGATCTCACAGATGGTCATTGCCAAGCACCAGTTCAGGCCTCCAGGCCCACCAGGCAAGCCTGTTGTGTACAATGTCACTAACGATGGAATGACCATCCAGTGGGAGCAGCCCATCTATGATGGTGGTACCCCCATTCAGGGCTTCCATGTGGAGAAGAAAGAAAAGAACAGCATCATGTGGCAAAAGGTGAACACGATGCTGATCAAAGAAACCGACTACAGGATTTTGGAACTCATTGAAGGCCTTGAGTACTCCTTCAGAGTCTACGCCCAGAATGATGCTGGCTTCAGCCGAATGAGTGATGAGAGCAAGTCAACCATGGCCGTCAGTCCTGTTGGTGAGTGCTGATTTAGATATTTATCATTTAAACTATATCAAGTTTAGCTAAATCATTTTTATATATGACAGCTGACTAAAAGGCCAGTCTAGAGTTACAGCACTTACAAATACACGTGGGCATCATGAGAAATTCAAAAATGTTATAAAGTTGTTTTCAGGTTTGTTAAAATGTATATTTTGTATTTATGTTGGTTAAGTGTAATTTTAAACAAAAGATAGACAGAAGACTGAAAGGGCCTGACGATGTCAAGTGGTGTAAACACAACAGAATAAGAAATATTAAATGTTTTATCCACCTAGAGTGTATGTAATTGTCCTCATACAAAAAAACTGATTCATTTTAAAATATCACATGAAAATATTTCATGTTATTACTTTGTAGTGGAGGATTACATTTTAATCCACATGAATTTCCCTGATAAACAGTTACCCCACCTGACCATGCTGCTTTCATTGTTTGATGAATGGAATTGGCTCTGACAATCAATCACGTCAAAAAGATCAAGTGAACTTAGTGTTTTATCATTATTTCTCAATTTCAATGAAGAAAATTCATCTCATCATTTGTGGATAAATCACTTTTTCAAAAAATAAAAACTAATAAAATAACAGTTCCACTTGGTAAATTACTTCATATTAAATCTTTAATCAGCATCATAAACTACTGATATTTGACAAAATCAGCCTTGAATCTAAAGGTTTGTAACTGGAGTTCAAATCAATTCAAATTGGGCAGGCAATATTAAGGACACCTATGTAAGCACATAGCTTTGTTTTAAAAATTCTAAGAATATTTTCTTAAAATTATTATTTTTTTACATTTTTCCTAAATAAATACTTATTCTAAAATTCAGATGAATCATAAATGGAAGATTCCGAGATCGTACCATTTAACAAGTAACCAAAGCACCAGACATTCTCCTGAAAACATCAGATTTTGTCATTTCAGCAGTTGTGTTCATCATGTTCCACTTTGACGTGACTCACATTAAAAATGAATAATGATATTCACAACAATTTTGTTCTATTTGTTTTATTGAATACTAATTAACACGCATTTAAGATTATGCCAAACTAGTTGATAGATTCACTGTTTTTTAACTAGTTTAAAGTTTATACATTAGCTGTATCACAAGTTTTTATGGTTACACCACGTTGACATTTTTTGCATCATCCCCGAATCTTGTCTTATAATTGATTATATCCAGAAATGTTCAAATAGATCCTCAAGAAATATTTGTAATTTGTACATTATTTTAAAATTTTATTCCTTTAAAATTTCACTAAACCATATAAATATCTTGTCAGTGACCCAATAAATAGTTAGGTTAAATAATGTACTTCCTGTCTTTCAGATCCTCCTGGTCAGCCCGACTACACAGATGTGACCAGTGACTCTGTGACACTGAAATGGGATGCACCCAAACGTGATGGTGGTAGCAAGATTGCCGGTTACAACATAGAAAAACGTCAAGGACATGGTCGCTGGTTCAAGGCCAACTTGACCGACGTACATGATTGCCAGTACGCTGTCACTGGGTTGGCGACAAATGAACGCTACGAGTTCAGAGTAATCGCCAGAAATGCCATTGGTGTTGTCAGTCCTCCTTCCAACTCTTCTGGCTTGATTGTAGTCAGAAGTGAGAATGGTGAGTAAAATTGTAGTAGATGGGAACTGCTGTCCTCTCTGCCAACTGGCTCAAAGCAAAATACTTTTTAAAATTACATTGTTAATGCTCAGTAAAGTGACAGACTCTAAATTAATACCTCTTTTCTTTTTCAAAACTAGCTTCTCCAAATATAGAGTTTGGCCCAGAGTACTTTGAGGGTTTGACAGTCAAAGCAGGAGACAACATCAGGCTTAAGGTCACCATCACTGGACGTCCAGTGCCCAAGGTCATCTGGTACAGAGACGGTGTGCAGGTTACCAAAAAGATGATGGACATTATCAATGTAGCTGGATCCACTACCCTGTTTGTCAGGGATGCTGACCGAACACACCGTGGCCTCTACACTGTGGAGGCTACCAATGGATCTGGATGCAAGAAAGAGAACATCCTTGTTCAAGTCCAAGGTGCTCAGTTGTTTTTTACATATTTCCCTTTGTATTTCACTAGACTCATTTACAGCATTATTATTATTTGTAAATGTTCTAACATTAATTTTACGTAATGCAGACACACCCGGAGAGCCAGTGGGACCCATCACTTTCAGTAATATCTCAGAGGGCAGGTGCACTCTGTCCTGGAACCCACCAGAGAACGATGGCTGCTCTGAGATTTCACATTACATCATTGAAAAACGTGAGACTGCCAAGATCTCTTGGGCCTTGGTGTCTGATGAATGTGAGGAGTGCATGTTCAATGCGACCAAGCTCATCAAGACCAACGAGTACCAGTTCAGAGTCTCTGCTGTTAACAAGTTCGGAGTAGGCAGACCTTTGGAATCCAGCCCTGTCATCGCACAGCTGCAGTACAGTAAGTGGATTAATTCAAAGGCTAAAGAAACATTAGATTTCCAAATAATCTATATGAAATCAATGCACACTTTGTCCTAATCTATCAAAATTGTTTCCCTCAGCTACTCCTGAAGCTCCAGGAACTCCTGATGCCACCGAGGTGACAGGGGAGAGCATCACTCTCTCATGGACACCTCCAACATCTGATGGAGGAAACTCCATTCAGTACTACATTGTGGAGAAACGAGAAAAGAAAACTGTCCGGTTCTACAAGGTGATTACTAAGAAGCCCATTACTGAATGTGCTCACAAGGTGCTTCACCTGACAGAAGATACAGAATATGAGTTCCGTGTCATGGCCGTGAACGATGCTGGTGTTGGAGCTCCGAGCAACATCTCTATGCCAATTAAAGCCGCAGAGCCAAAGGATATTCCATGTGCTCCCTCTGTGGTCTGTGTATCTGACTCCACTAACACATCAATCAGTCTGGAATGGAGCAGGCCTGCAGATGATGGAGGTATGGAGGTCCTGGGCTACATTATCGAGATGGTGAAGGGAGAAGACACAGAATGGAAGAGAGCAAATACAGAGCTGGTGGCAGAAACGAATTACACGGTGACTGGTCTCCAGACAGGAGTTATGTACAAGTTCCGTGTTGCAGCTGTTAATCACGTGGGTAGAGGTGAGGAAAAGGAGACTCCAGAGCCTGCACAGGCTGTAGACAGGCTGACACCACCACAGGTGGATATTGACGCCACTTTCAAGCAGACACACATTGTGAAGGCTGGAGGTTCGGTGTGTCTGGGCATCCACTTCAGAGGAAAACCCACCCCCACAGCCACCTGGGTGAAAGAGGAAGGAGAGCTGGGTGCCATGTCAGAAATCACCACTACAGATGGCTTCAGTTCTATGACCATTGAAAACTGCTCTAGAAATGATACAGGAAAATACACTGTTAGCCTGGAGAATGCCAGCGGCAGCAAGGCCATTACATTCACTGTAAAGGTGATGGACACCCCTGGAGCTCCACAGGCTGTTGTCTTCAAGGAGGTATCCAGAGGCTCAGTCACACTAACATGGAAGCCTCCTCTCAATGATGGTGGAGCCCGAATCCATCACTATATTGTTGAGAGGCGTGAGGCCAGCCGTCGCACTTGGCAGCAGTCTGGTGGCAAATGCACGCAGCACATCCTGAAGATCCAAGACCTGCTGGAGGGAGTACCGTACTTCTTCAGAGTCTCTGCCGAGAACCAGCATGGTGTGGGTGAAGCATTTGAACTGACTGAGCCTGTCATTGCCACTGCAGAGCCAGCGTCTCCAAAGAGAATGGACATCCTGGACACCACAGACAATTCTGTGTTGCTGGGCTGGCTGAAACCTGAGCATGATGGTGGCAGCCGCATCCAGTGTTACGTCATCGAGGCAAAGCCAAAGGGTACAGACAAATGGGTTGTGGTTGGTAACACCAAAAATCTCACTTATGTGATTGAAAAGCTCAACAAGGGCGATGAGTATGACTTCCGTGTGAAGGCCAAGAATGAATCCGGCTACAGCAAGCCCAGGGAAACTTTGGCTCCTGTGCTGGTCAAAGAGCCTCATATTGAACCTGCTGCTGACCTCAGTGAGATCACCAACCAGCTGATCACGTGCAGCTCAGGCCGCACCTTCACCATTGATGTTCCCATCAGTGGTAGACCTTCTCCTAAAGTCACCTGGAAGCTGGAGGAAATGAGGCTGAAGAGCTCAGACAGAGTCTCCATTAAAGTAACTAAAGACCAAACCAGTATCTCAGTCAAAGAGGCCATGAGGGGAGACGGTGGTAAATACTACCTGACTCTGGAGAATGTGGCAGGAACAAGGACCTTCACTATTGAAGTGAATGTCACAGGTAGACCCAGTCCTCCAACTGGTCCCATCGAAATCTCTTCCATCACCTCTGAGTCCTGCGTTGTTAATTGGCAACCACCAGAGGATGATGGTGGCACTGACATCACCAACTACATTGTGGAGAAACGTGAGTCTGGTACCACAGCCTGGCAGCTCATCAATTCCAGTGTGAAACGCACAAATCTTCATGTCAGTCACCTGACCAAGTACATGCAGTACACATTCAGGGTCTCTGCTGAGAATAGATTTGGTGTCAGCAAACCCACTGAGTCTAAGACCATTGTCGCAGAGCATCCCTTCAGTAAGTACAAAACTTTTTGACCGATAAGCATTTCTTTAAATGTCAAAATACATAAAAACATACATGCTTTGTATTGAATCAGCTATAAGTTAGGTGACTGTGCTTAATAACAAAATCTATTTTCTAATCACAGCACCTCCTGGCCCACCAACAAAGCCTTCAGTCTTCAATGTCACTGCCAACACAATGACCATGAAGTGGGAGGAACCCTACCATGATGGTGGCAGCAAAGTGACAGGCTACTGGATTGAGAAGAAGGAGAGGAACAATATCCTGTGGGTGAGGGAGAACAAGATCCCTTGCTTCGAGTGTTACTACAAGGCGGAAGGTCTAGTTGAAGGCCTGGAGTACCAGTTCAGGGTTTATGCCATGAACAGTGCTGGGCTGAGCAAAGCCAGTGAGGCCTCCAAGGGAGCAGTTGCGCAAAACCCAGTTGGTGAGTTTTGACACTATTTACAGTCTTAATGGATACTCCATTAATGTGTCTAATACAAATATTTGATCCATCATTTAGATTCTCCAAGTAAACCAGAGGTCACAAATGTCACAAGAACCACAGTCTCCCTCAAGTGGTCTTCTCCACTAAACGATGGTGGCAGTCCAATCGTGGGCTACATCATCGAGCGTAAGCCATACATTTTGACTGGTGAGGGCCGCTGGCTCAAGTGTAACTACACCAACGTGACCAACAATTTCTACACTGTTACTGCCCTGGGAGAAGGAGAGCCCTATGAGTTCAGAGTCATTGCCAAGAATGCCAACCAGGTCTTCAGTCGGCCATCCGAGTCCACTGGATCTGTGCAGTGCAAGACCGACTTTGGTACTATCTTCATCTGAGACCATGATACAGTGACACCATATAGCATGCATTCACAATTTTTATTTAACATTGAATTAAATGATGGTAGCAATAACAATGAGACACTCAAACGTACAGATTTGTTGAATGTGGTTAATTCTGGTCCACACTGTCATGTGTTTTATATCAATGTACTCACTGTACTACTCTACCAAACAGAGCCTCCAAAGGCCCAGCTGGACAGCAAACTCCTGTCTGAAACTGTGATGGTCAGAGCTGGTTCAGACCTGGTTCTGGACGCTGCAGTGGGAGGCAGGCCGGACCCCAAGGCTTCCTGGTCCAAGGGCAACAGGGAGCTGGAGTTATGTGAAAAGTACAACCTGCAGTATACCCCCACAAGGGCCATGGCTATAATCAAATTCTGTGACAGAGATGACACTGGAAAGTACATCCTCACAGTGAGGAACGTGAGCGGAACCAAGACTGCTGAGGTCAACGTCAAAGTGCTTGGTAAAAAAATGTTTTATTGTTAAAGAATTTATATTTGTCACAGGTCCTGAAAGGAACATACTATGAGCACCTGTGTTTTTTCCAGATACACCTGGAGTGTGTGAAGGCAGCATTGAAATCAGCAAAATCACACAGGAGTCATGCACCTTGAGCTGGAAGCCTCCACAAGAGGATGGCGGTGACGATGTCTCTCACTACATTGTGGAGAGACGTGACACCAACAGGCTCAACTGGGTTATCATGCATGCAGAGTGCAAGGAGCTGACTTGTGACATCACCGGGTTGTTCAAGAACACAGAGTACCTGTTCAGAATACGGGGAGTCAACAAGTACGGAGCTGGAATTCACCTGCAGTCAGAACCCATGGTCGCCAGAAATACGTTCAGTAAGTGACTTTAAAAGCAACATTTCCCAAAAGATCACTGAGGTGATCTTCATGGATTGTCCAACTTCTTATGCTTAATCTTTTTTCCACAATGTATGAGATTGACAGTGACATGAAACCACAAATTAAACTTTAAACACTCAACTGTTCATCTATTTTGTCTTCCTTCAGCTGTGCCAACTCCTCCTGGATGTCCAGAGATCCTGGCATCAGGAAAAGACTTTGCCACCATCGAGTGGCTGAAGCCAGAGAGCGACGGTGGCAGCCCGTTGATCCACTACCTGGTGGAAAGGCGTGAGAGAAAGAGTGCCCGCTGGGTGAAGGTGAACAGGGATGGAGCTCACCTTGACACCACACTGAAGGTGTCTGGTTTGACCGAAGGCAACATCTACCAGTTCAGAGTGACTGCCATCAACAAGGCTGGAGAGAGTGAAGCCAGTGAGGTTTCTCTGTATGTCATCTGCAGAGTGCCAACATGTAAGTCCAGTTTGTTCAAGACACTATAACAATATCTTTTTATATCTGGGCAGGATTAATGGGTAACGTGTCAATTAACAAATATTAATTCCTGCGTCCTGTCCTCAGGCACCCCAGCTCCTCCCTCCATCCCTCGTATCACTGACACCCATGCTGACAGCATCAGCTTGGCCTGGTCCCGCCCTGTGGAGGACGGAGGAGCTGATGTGATCGGCTACATTCTGGAGATGCAGGAGGCCGGAGCAGAGGAGTGGAAGAAGGCCCACGAAAAGACCCTTCGTGCTGCTGAGTATGTGGTGACCGGACTTTCTGCAGGCAAGAAATACTGCTTCAGAGTGGCTGGCATCAACATTAATGGTACAGGAGACTTTAGTGAACCCTGTGCTGAGACTGAACCAGTGGAGAGAATTGGTAAGTAATCTGGAAAGATGTTCTTCTGGTAATTGAGTAGGTGTTATTTGCAGGTCTTTGATGATGTTAAATTCCTGTATCACTTACATTACAAACTACTTTATATGGTAATCATCACGACTTCTCACACAGAAATTCCTGACTTCGAGCTCCATGACGACCTTAAGAAGACCATCTGCCTCCGCGCTGGTGGCTCCCTCCGCCTATTTGTCTCTGTCACTGGTCGTCCCAATCCTGCCATCTCTTGGAGCAAGCCAGATGTTGACCTTCACAATAGAGGCTTCATTGAGGTCACCAATACATCCACCACACTCATCATTGACAAGGTCCACCGCTACGATGCGGGCAAGTACACACTGGTAGCGGAGAACTCTGCAGGCAAACAGGAAGTCAGCATCCTGGTCAAGGTCTATGGTAAGTGACATACTACACAGGAGTATCTATACTTTGATTTGATTTTATATAATACATTACGGTTTATATTTTAAGTAAGGAACTATTTTTATTGTTAGATACTCCTGGACCAACTGGACCAATCAAGATCAAGGAGCTGAACAAAGATTCTGCCATCATCACTTGGGAAGCACCAACTGTAGATGGTGGTGCTCCTGTCAACAACTACATCATTGAGAGGCGTGAGGCCTCAATGAGAGCCTACAAGACCATCACGTCCAAGTGCAGCAAGACGTCCTATAAGATAGATGGCCTGATGGAAGGCATGCTGTACTACTTCCGGGTCCTCCCTGAGAACATTTATGGAATTGGAGAACCCCGTGAGACTCCTGACGTCATCCTGGTTTGCGAGGTGCCTTTGCCACCACACAAGCTGGAGGTGATCGATGTCACCAAGAACACCGTTATCCTGGGATGGCAGAAGCCTGAGCATGATGGTGGCAGCAGACTGACAGGCTACATTATTGAGGCCTGCAAGTTCGGCACCGACAAATGGATGAAGGTGGCCACACTGAAGCTCACAGACTTTGAGCACACCATTGAGAAGCTGAATGAGCATGAACAGTATTTGTTCAGAATCAGAGCAATCAACAGCAGAGGAGTCAGTGAGCCCAAAGAGCTTCTTACAGCTGTCACTGTGCAGGAACAGAGAGGTAATGACGCATTTTCAAATTGTTTTAGACAAAAGCATAAATAAGAAGCGGATTGACTAAAGGGGATTGTATCATCACATTTCAGTTCGCTATCTATTTCCCAACTCATCTGTAGTTACACTATTTATATCGTATATCTCTTTTTTTCCAGTGATGCCCATGGTGGACTTCTCCAGTATTCCTCAGAAGATTGTCAATGTTCTCGCTGGCAAGACTCTGGAGCTGGACCTCCCCCTCATTGGCAGACCTCCTCCAATCTGCTCTTGGTACTTGCATGACAACAAGATAAAAATCACTGACCGTGTCAAGATCAAGAGCACCGGCAAGTTCTCCAAACTCACTGTGTCTGACACCACTATCGATGACACTGGTGATTACACCCTTGAGGTGAAGAATGCAGTTGGCGTCATCACAGAGGTCATCAAGGTTATCATCCTGTGTAAGAAACCATCTCTTATTTGTTGCTGATGTTTATCAATAGCTATCATAGCCACAGACAATGTACTTTATTGAGATCAAACTGATTATAACCTTTATTATTATTCCTTATTTATTATGTTTATCCTACTTTTCTAGCTAAACCTGATGAACCAAAGGGACCCATCAGATTTGATGAGATTGATGCCACCACCGTCACCTGCAGCTGGGATCCTCCAGTCAGAGATGGTGGCGCTCCCGTCAGTGGCTACGTGGTAGAGCAGCGCGATGCTCACAGACCTGGCTGGTTGCCTGTCTGTGATTCTGTTAGCCGACCCACTTTCAAGTTTGAAAAACTGATTGAGGGAGATGAGTATGTCTTCCGTGCAGCTGCCATGAATCGTTATGGCACTGGAGAGTTCCTACAGTCTGACATTGTCACCTGCAGGAGCTTGAATGGTAAGACTACTATTACACATTTGACTGATATTGCTTTACACAGAATTAGGTAACTTATGACAGCATTATGTTTAATTTTCTCTCCTAAACAGATGTGCCTGGACCTCCTGGCCGTCCAACAGTTTTTGATGTTTCTCGTGATGGCATGACTGTTGCTTGGAACCCACCAGAAGAAGATGGTGGCCTTGAGGTTTCTGGATACATCATAGAGCGCAAAGAAGTCAGGTCTGACAGATGGGTGCGTGCTAACAAGAACCCCGTCACCATGACCAGATACAGGTCAACAGAGCTGATAGAGGGCCTGGAGTTTGAACACAGAATTACTGCCATCAATGCCAGAGGACTGAGTAAACCAAGTCTGCCATCCAAACCAGCTGTGGCAACAGATCCCATCGGTAGGAGAACAGTTTTAGGAAAAGTGTTGTTTTTTAGTTAAAACTGTGTATTCAAATTAAATTCATACTTATATTGGGCGACATCTTAAGTCTTAAGATAGCAAGTGCAAACTCATGTCTTGGCAAGAAATATTGACATTTCTCTCTTCCCTGCTTAGATCCACCTGGTTGTCCACAAAACCCGAGGATCACTGATACCACCAAGTCCTCAGTATCATTGGCTTGGAGTCCACCTGACGATGAAGGAGACGCAAGAGTGAATGGTTACCTGATTGAGATGCAGAAGGCAGGCACTATGGCCTGGATCAAGTGCAACACCACCCCATCTCTGATCTGTGAATACACACTGACCAACATGCCACAAGGAGAGGAGTTCAAATTCCGTGTGATGGCCTGCAATGCTGGTGGCTCTGGAGAGCCTGCTGAAGTGCCTGGAACTGTCACAGTGACCGAGATGCTTGGTAAGGCCACAGTTTCCTTAACTACATGACAACAACAAAATCACTTTTCATTGGTTTTAATGTTGTCACTCATTTGTGTTGAATAAAACTGACTTTAGTTACTATAATTTCTCTCCAGAATCTCCTGATTATGACTTGGAGCTGAAGTACAAAGATGTGTATGTGGTCCGCCAGGGAGGCGTAGTTAGACTCTCTGTACCCATCAAGGGTAAACCTCTTCCAGTTTGCAAATGGTTGAAGGATGCAAGTACAGTCTCCACGAAGGCCATGATTGCCTCCACGGAAGATGCCAGTGAGCTGGTGATCAAGGGGGCTGAGAGGGGTGACTCCGGTTTGTATGACCTCCTGCTGGAGAATAAGGTCGGCAAAAAGAAGGCCCAAATCAAGGTAAAGGTCATTGGGCGCCCAGGTGCTCCAGAGGGACCAATGGTCTTTGAGGAGATCCAGGCAAACTCTGTCAAGGTGGCATGGAAGGTACCCACTGACGATGGGGGCTCAGAGATCTTGGGTTATATTGTGGAAAGACGTGAGGCAGCCAGAAACGCCTGGTACACCGTGGACTCGAGAGTGACTGACACTCAGCTGGTTGTCAAGGGCCTGAAGGAGGGAACAGAGTACCACTTCAAGGTCACTGCTGAAAACTCTTTCGGCGTTAGTGCCTCTCTGAAGTCAGAGCAGCCAGTGGTGCCTAAGACTCCTCTTTGTAAGTATTCCACTTCTTCAGTCTGTGTTTCAATGTGCCTTTGACCCGAGATAATTCAGTAATTACTCAAAATATTATCTGTTTTAAAACCAGGTCCTCCTGAGCCTTCAAGCACTCCACCAGAGATCATGGACGTCACCAAGAGCTCTGTGGCACTGGCTTGGTCCAGACCAAAGGACGACGGCGGTTCTGCCATCACTGGCTACTTTGTTGAATACAAGGTGGTGTCTACTGAAACGTGGTCCCGCCACCAGACAAAGATCACCTCTACCATGTTTACTCTGCCTGGACTCACCCCTGACTCAGACTATCAGTTCCGCATTGTTGCCATGAACGACATCGGTGAGAGTGAGGCTGGTCCTGTGTCGGACCCAGTCACATGCAAGGATCCATTTGGTGAGTTTTCACTCATATTAATATGTATTCATACTATAATTATTATAGTAGTTGATGGAATTTAGAGTTGCCATGGGCCATCTAGATGTAAATGATATGTCACTGTAAAGCTAAGTAAAATCATTTGATCAAAACAACCTCCAATACTTGGCCGTGGGAGATAAAAAGAATAAAAAAAGATTGAGTAGTCATGGTTGGTTTCAGGAAGTTGCAAACACAGCTATTAATTAACTTTTTTTGTTTCTTTCATTCCAGACAAGCCAAGTCAACCAGGTGAGATTGACACAGTTAATGTGACAAACAACTTCATCACCATACGCTGGCAAGCTCCAGAGTGCGACGGTGGAAAGGAAGTCCTTGGCTACTGGGTGGAGTACAGGAAATCAATTGAAAGCACCTGGAAGAAGTCTAACAAGCAGAGGGTGAAGGAAAAGGAGTTCACCATGCCTGGACTAACTGAGGCCACAGAGTACGAGTTCAGAGTGTTTGCTGAAAATGAGACAGGGATGAGCAGACCTCGAAGGACTACCACATGCATCAAGACCAAACTGAGCGGTGAGTAGACTGAAATGTACACTGTGAAATTTATTTGAATCTCTTCTCTAAATAAATAACGTTGCCTCCTTGTTTTGTATTTACAGTTGAAACTAAGCCAAGCCTGAGGAAAGAAATGGATGAAGTAACTGTCAAACTTGGCCAGCCTGCGGTCATGAAGTGCCAGATCATTGGTAGACCTGTTCCTGAAATCAAGTGGTATCATGGTGACAGGGAGATTGTCGAGTCTCGCAAGTATGAGATGAGCTCCGATGGCCGCAACCACTCCCTGTCAATAATGACCAACCAGCAAGACGATGAGGGAGAGTACACCTGTAAGGCCATCAATGATGCTGGAGATGCTGAGACCACAGGTATCCTGGTGTTGGAAGCAGCTCCATCCTTCCATGCTGACTACCCATTGAAGGAAACCTACTATGCTGGCCTGGGAACTACCCTGCGTATCCACGCCGTCTACATTGGCCGCCCAGAGCCAAAGATCATGTGGCTGCATGGAGCAAAGACTCTGGAGAACACAGAAGACATCAACATTGAGACAACTGAGCATTACACACACCTGGTCATTAAGAATGTGCAACGCAGATTACATGGAGGCAAATACAGGATCAGACTGCACAACCACTTTGGCAGGGCTGACACTGCATTCAATGTAGAGATATATGGTACGCTCATGTAAATTACCTGCAGTGAGTGCAACAATTAATTCATCTGTACAAGTGATATCAGATTCAATAATTTAATCTAATACCTCTGTTTCCAGACAAACCTGACATGCCACAGGGTCCCATTGTCCTGGACGCCCTCCTGAAGAACTCTGTCATCATCAGCTGGAAGTCTCCCAAGGACGATGGAGGCTGCATGATCACCAACTACATTGTGGAGAAGCGTGAGGACAAGGAGGGAACAGAGTGGGAACTGGTGTCGTCATCCATTAATGGAACATCTTGCCGTGTCCTTAACCTCATCGACAGTGCTGGATACTTCTTCCGTGTGTACGCCCAGAATCGCTATGGCAACAGTGAGCCATTAGAGCTCACTTCACCTATTCTTATCAAGAGCCAATTGGGTACGTTTAATCCAATGAACTTTGATGTTTTCAAACTGCTTCATAAAGTAATGTCTTAAAATGTATGTGTAGAAAAATACATCATATTAGTTCACATGTAAAGACCTACCCGAGTACACTGGGATGGCTTCTTATACATTTAGTTCTGTCCACAGAGAAACCATCACCACCTCTGTCGCCAGTTGTGTCGGCAATTACCAAGGACTCCTGCGTCGTTTCCTGGAAGCCTCCACTCAGCGATGGTGGCTCCAAGATCAAGAGCTATTGCCTTGAGAAGAAGAACAAGAAGGACAGAAAGGAATGGACCGAATGGACTCTGGTGACCACAGATGAGATCAAACAGACAGTGTTCTCAGTGAAACGTCTCAATGAGGGTGTCGAGTACATCTTCCGTGTGAAGTGTGAGAACCTTGGAGGACAGAGTGACTACAGTGAGGAGACCACTCCCATGGTTCCAATCACAGCTGTCGAGATCCGTGCTCCAGCCTTCAAGGAGGAGCTGAGGAACATGAGCGTCAAGTACAAGAGCAATGCCACCATGGTCTGCAAGATCATAGGACAGCCCAAACCTGTGATCAAATGGTTCAGACGAGGAAAGGAGATCCATTCTGATGGAAAGAAGATCAAGATCCAGGAGTTCAAGGGAGGTTACCACCAGCTAGTTATTACTGAGGCTGATGAGGAAGACTCCACTGTTTACCAGATCAGAGCCACCAACCAGGGAGGCTCCATCTGTGCTACAGTCTCTTTGGATGTTGAAGGTAAGTGTAAAGTCTCCTCTGTTTTTAACTTAAACTTTTAACTTTGCCTCAATTTAGCTCTGTCTGAACAACTCAGTCACCATATCCTACATGTATGCTCTTTTATGTAACAAATAATAATTTTGTACTTATTGCACATGTCTGTACTGCTGAAACAAAATAATTTCCCCTCGGGGATGAATAAAGTATGTCTATCTATCTATCTATCTATCTATCTATCTATCTATCTATCTATCTAAAGATACCAAATCCCTTCTATTTACACGGACTCAGACTTAACCAGTGTAACTTAAATACTTTGGAAATTGTCAAAACAATCATCTCACTGCCAATTCTTTCATTTCTAGTACCTGCCACAATCCACCTGCCGAAGAACCTTAAGGACAAAGAAGCCATCCCTGCCCTGCGTGGAGAGATGGTTAATATCAAGATTCCTTTCGGTGGCAAACCAGATCCTGTCATTACATGGCAGAAAGGACAAGATCTCATCGACAGCAATGGCCACTACCAGGTCATTGTAACCAGGTCATTCACATCCTTGGTGTTCCCCAATGGAGTGGAGAAGAAGGATGCTGGTTTCTACATTGTGTGTGCCAAAAACAGATTTGGCATCGACCAACAGACAGTTGAGTTGGATGTGGCTGATGTGCCTGATCCTCCACGTGGTGTCAAAGCCAGTGATGTCTCCAGAGACTCAGTTAATCTGAACTGGGTGGCGCCAGCTAATGATGGTGGCAGTAAGGTCATCAGCTACATCATTGAGAAATGCCCCACCACTGCTGAGAGGTGGGAACGTGTTGCCCAGTCCCGTGACACTCACTACACCGTGATCAATCTGTTTGGAGGAACCAGCTATCAGTTCAGGGTCATTGCTGAGAACAAATTTGGACAGAGTGCTCCATCTGAGACCAGTGGACCTGTCATGACTAAAGAGGACAAATCCAGAGTTCTGCTTTATGACAGGGAGGTTGACGATACTGGACGTGTTCCCAAGGGCAAGGTTCAACACTCTGATGCCAAGAATCTGCATAACAAATATGCTATCGCAGAGGAAGTGGGCAGAGGTCAGTTTGGCATTGTCCACCGCTGTGTTGACATTAGCTCTGAGAAGACATACATGGCTAAATTTGTCAAAGTGAGAGGCGCTGATCAAGCAATAGTCAAGAAGGAAATATCAACACTGAACTTGACCCGACACACTAACTTCCTCCTTCTCCATGAGTCTTTTGACAGCCCAGAGGAGCTGGTGATGATCTTTGACTTCATCTCTGGTGTCGACATCTTTGAGCGCCTTAGTGCAGCTGACTTTGAGCTTAATGAGCAAGAGATTGTTAACTACATCAGGCAGATCTGCTCAGCTCTGGAGTTCTTGCATGCCCAGAGCTATGGACACTTTGATATCAGACCTGAGAACATTGTGTACACAACTAGAACCAGCTCTAATGTAAAGATCATCGAGTTTGGCCAGTCCAGACACCTAACTCCTGGAGAACAAATCAAGATTCAGTATACCACTGCAGAGTATGCTGCTCCTGAGATCCACCAATGTGACATGGTCAGCAGTGTCACTGACATGTGGTCGGTTGGTGTCCTTGCCTATGTACTCCTCAGTGGACTTAATCCATTCACATCTGAAACCAACCAACAGATGATTGACAACATCTCCAATGCAGCCTATAGCTATGATGATGAATCCTTCACGCAGGTCAGTGTTGATGCATTAGACTTTACAGACCGCCTCATGACAAAGGATCGTAAACATCGTATGAGTGCTGCCGAGGCTCTGGTGCATCCTTGGCTCGCCAAGTCTGCAGAGGAAATCAGTACCAGAGCAATCGCAACTGGTAGGCATAAAAGATATTACCAAACAATGGTGAGAAAAGAGTGGAACACTGTTGTCTCTGCAGCCCGTGTGGCCAGTGGTGGCTCCATCAGGTCCCAGCGTGGAGTCTTTGTCGCCAAGGTGAAGATTGCTCCATTTGAACATGGTCCTGTTGCAGGACAGATTGGCCATGCAGTGGTGAATGAAGGAGACAGTGTGAAATTCATCTGCCACATTGACAACTATGATAGCACTACTGAAGTGACATGGTACTGTGGAGTCAGGCAGCTTGAAGCTGGTGAAAAATATGAAATTGAATATGAGGATGGCCTGGCTGTAATCACCATCAACAAGGTCACAAGGGCAGATGATGGTACCTACAGGTGCAAGGTTGTGAATGAGTATGGTGAAGACAGTGCCTACGCAGAGTTGTTTATCAACAGTGTTAGATCGGCCCGCGAGTACTTCACCACTCGCGTGGTCAAGAAAACAAAACGCAGAGTTGACACTGCCAGAATGCTTCAGAAACCACCAGAGTTCACCCTTCCTCTGGTCAATAGTACGGCCTACATTGGTGAAGATGTGCGCTTTGGTGTCACCATAACTGTTCACCCTGAACCTCGTGTCATCTGGCACAAATCGGGACAGAAACTTATCCCAGGAAACGATGACAGGAAATATACCTTCATCAGTGACAAGGGTCTTTATCAGTTGATTATCCACAAACTGGACAAGGAGGATGATGCAGAATATAGTGTTGTGGCACGTAACAGGTATGGTGATGACAGCTGCAAGGCTCGTCTTACTGTTGTTCCTCGGCCTAAACCAGCAGATCTCACCCTGAGGCCCATGTTCAAACGGCTGCTAGCAAACGTAGAGTGCAGGGAGGGCCAGAACGTACGATTTGAAATAAGAGTGTCTGGCCACCCCACACTGAAGTGGGAGAAAGATGGCACACCTTTGGCCTTTGGACCTTCTATTGAGGTTGTCCATGAGGGTCTTGATTACTTCATCCTTCATGTGAGAGACACTCTCCCTGAGGACTCTGGCATATACAGAGTTACTGCTACCAACTCTGCTGGATCTGCCAGTTGCCAGGCCACACTCAAAGTTGAGCGTGTCACTCATGTAAAGAAGGAATATGAGACCAGTGAAAAGGAAAAGCAAAAGGTATCTGGAAAGGAACAATTGGACAAAAAGGTGAGGCTCTACCAGATTATGTCTGGCACAGTTGTTGCACCTCTACCACCTTTAGCAGTACAAGCTGTCAGGGAGGCAGCCACCATGTTCAAACCGGCTGTGACAACTAAGAAGGGCGAGAAGACTGAGGCTGAGATACAGAAAGAACAAGAGGAGAGGAAGAAGCGAGCAGATGAGAAGAGGCTGCGTATGCCCTATGACGTCCCCAGTCCTCGTGTCATTAACCCAGCTGTTCTCGAGGAAGATGTGGAAATAAAACACTTCAAGCCACTCTCTGACATGAAATGGTACAAGAAACTGCGCGATCAGTATGAGTTCCCTGAGCCTATGGAAAAAATAAAGCACAAGAGGATGAAGCGTATTCGCCTCTCCAGGTGGGAGCAGTTCTATGAGGTGCCAATCAGGATCAAGGACCAGTATAAGCCTAAGTGGCGCATCTCATCCATTACTCAGGATGACTTGGAGACTGTGAGGCCTGCAAGGCCTCGCACTCCTTCCCCTGAGATGGAGGCATACCACAGGATCAGGAGGAGATCCCTGGGTGACCTGTCCGACGAGGAACTGCTGCTGCCTGTGGATGAGTATCTGTCCATGAAGAGAATTGAGGAGGAGAGACTTCGTCTGGAGGAAGAGCTGGAACTTGGGTACTCTGCTTCTCCACCGAGCCTCAGCCCAGTTCGCTTTGAACTCTCTGCCCTGCGTCCTTCATCTCCTAGAAGAGTCTACAGTGAAGATGAAGAGGAAGAAGGGGTCCGCAGATATGACTCCTACCGAATTCCATCTAAATATGAAGCTGGTCCAAGTTTTGTTGAACTTCGTCAACGTCACGACAAAGCCACACACAAACCTCAGAGACAGAAACAGAGGGTTTATGAAGATAGAGAAGATCAGGAGCTGCTGCGCCCACACACCACTGCTCAGAGAATCACATCATACAAGAGTGAACTCAAACGCATGGAGTTTGAGGAGAAGACGCGAACCTCTAAAAAGGAAACAACTGTCACTGTTGCAAAAGTCTCTGAGAGTGTTGAATCTGAGAACCTGACATCCTTTACCTCTGAATATATTCCCAAACCCATAAAGAAGCTTCCAATGCCTGAACCTGCGAGGGGAAGATCTCCTACCCCAGAAAAGGCTGTGAAGACAGACGTCGCCTTTCCTAGAGTTGACTTTGCATCCAGATACGAGGAGAGGAAGCGGGCTCTGAGGTCAGAGAGAAGGTCAGTGGAGAGGAAGATTGAGGTTGTGACACAGGCTCCTTTTAGCCTTGACCATGCTCCACATATAACCATCAGGTTACGATCTCATCGTGTCCCCTATGGCTCCAACACAAGGTTCACCCTGAACGTCCAGGCAAAACCAGAATCTGAGGTCAAGTGGTTCCACAATGGAAAAGAGATTCATCAGAGCAGCAAGTACCACATGACCAATATCAGTGGAGTGCTGACCCTCCAGATCATCAACTGTGAGACTGAGGATGCTGGAACTTACCGTGTTGTCTGCAAAAACACCAAAGGAGAGACTTCTGATTATGCAACATTGGATGTTGTAGAAGCAGAATTTGCTGTTTTCTCTTCACTCCGCAAAGATGAGGAGCCTCCATCCGCCCATCTGCCTGAAATGACCAAAACAGTGGAATATCACGTCTCCTCCTCTAAAACAACAGAAACCGTGACTGAAACTGTTAAAGAGACCACTACTGTTGTTGAGAAGCCGAGGGAGAAGCCAAGTGCTCCTGCTCAGATCCTGACCAAACCACAGTCCCTCACTGTGGAGGAGGGGGACCTTGCCAGATTTGAGTGCGATGTTGCTGGTGAACCAGCACCTTCTATCACCTGGATGCATGAAGGCGCAGTTGTTGCTTCTTCTGCTCGTCACCACATTGTCTCTACCCAGTACAACTCCTCCTTTGAGATCTCTGCTGTTGAGGTGTCGGATGAAGGCAGCTACACTCTCCTGGTGGAAAATGGTGGAGGCAAACAAGAGGCTCATTTCACTCTCTCGATCCGCAAATCTGATTCCAAGGAAAAAGTTGTTGCCCCTCCCAGAATCACCTCTCCAGAGGCTAAGTCACCTCTTCCCAAGTCCCCTGAACCAGTCAAATCTCCAAAGAGAGTCAAGTCCCCTGAGCCAATCAAGTCACCTCAGAGAATCAAGTCTCCAGTCTCACCGAAATCCCCAACACCAAAATCCCCAACACCAAAATCCCCCACTCCAAAATCCCCCACTCCAAAATCCCCAACTCCAAAATCCCCAACTCCATCAGAAAAGAGCGAGCAGGGAATCATCATGTGTCAGGCTCAAACTCAGCAAGGCCTGATCAGCTGTCAGTTTGATACCGCTGTCACCTCCAAGCGCTCTGGCGCTCCTCAGTTTCTAGTGCAGCCCAGATCCCAGAATGTGAACGAGGGACAAAATGTCAAATTCACGTGTGAAATCGAAGGAGAGCCTTCACCTGAAGTGGAGTGGTTGAAAGGCAATGTGATGGTGAGTCGTTTTCTACAGGAAGTCATTTGTTTTTTAATTAGGTCAAAAATGTGTGTGATGACTTTATTCTGAAGCTAAACCGGATGTAACTCTGTCTCCACAGATTTCTGTCACATCAAACATTCGACTGAGTCGCTCTAAAAACATCCACACTCTGGAGATTTGTGAAGCCACAGTTGCAGACGGTGGGAAATACACGATCAAAGCCAGGAATCCGTTTGGACAGTGCTCTGCAACATCGTCACTCAATGTCTTCAGTAAGTTTCTCTGCATTTCAACTAACGGTCAAGCTCTGTCAGCGCATGAATCTTTGACAATGAAAGCTTCGATGCAATCTTAAAGGTTCAGTGTGTAGGTTGTAGTGACCTCTGGTGTTAAAGTAAAAAATTGCAGCCACCTGGTTTGTTTGTTTGTTCTGCAGAAACACGTCACCTCGATAATCCTACACATTGAATCTTTAAATCTAATTCAACATTCAAACCCATGTATGTGAAACCAAAGCACCACAGCTGTCACTGAGTGTTTGACTACGTGCACAGTTGGTGTGAACCGTACGTGCACATTGTGAGTCCTGTGCTTGTTATTTGCATCCTCGCAGCCCTTGTTGAAGAGCCAACAACAATGATTGTCATGGAGCAAAGAGATTTTACTGACACTGCTGCTGGCGTGCAGAAAACTTTCTCTGCTTCGTCCATTCACATGGAGGAGGCAGACGAGCAGACGAGCACCTACAGCAGCGACTCCCACTCTGCTGCTGCCCAGAGTTCATTTAGGAGCATGTCTGAGACTAGCATGTCTGAGACTAGCATGTCTGCCATGATGGCTGAGTCAATGGTTTCCATGAGCTCCAGCAGCCAAATGATGGAAATGTCTGTTCACTCGCATGTGAAGGCCTCGTCCTCCCTGAGGGCCCAAACCACAGGGGTCAAACGAGGTGAGATCGCCTGAGTAACAAGAGGTGCTTTGATCTGAGCATGATGTGAGAAGCTCTCTTTATATTTCAGGTTTCATAAAAAATAAATGAGAGATTTTGCTTTCTGAAACTTTTCTGTTCGGTAGCTTTAAATCTTATTTCAGTCATTTCAACAATCACCTGATCTTCAGTAAAATCATTCAAATAAAATGTAGCACAGTGATGAAAGGTCAAAAAATCTTCAATAGATAAATAATAAGAAACTGCACCTTGTAGTGTGCAGCTCAAACATCCTGCCTTTCTACTTTTTGTAATTTCGTTTAAATATGTGATTTTTTTATGTCACTTAACACAATTATGAGTTAAACTGATAAAACGTCTTGTCACTGACTCGCGCTCGTTCACAGGTTTGCCACCAAAGGTTGAAGCTCTACCACAAAACGTCAGTGCTGAGGCAGGGAAGTCCCTGACAATAGCGGGGGTGTTCTCCGGAGACCCCGCCCCCTCTGTGCAGTGGGTCCGCTCTGGTCGTCCCCTCCCCAGCGGAGAAGGGCGGTACCACGTGGAGAACACCAGCGACCTCTCCACCCTGATGATCTCTGCAGTGAAGGAGGGCGACAGCGGAGCGTACACCCTCCGACTGTCAAACGAGTTTGGCTCCGACTCTGCGACTGTCAATGTTCTCATTCGGTCCATGTAAAAAAAAAAGATAATTTTCTTCCCCCATTTCTCTGATCCAGAACTTTTATATTTAGTGAATTAGCAACGATAACCGACTTGATAAAGATCTGGATTTTCTTCTTGTAAATATGAACTATTTTTGTACCAAACTTGACATTAATTTATGCCAAACTAGACTAAAGTCTAAAGTTGTTATAAAATGTGCCATATTGGATAACTATGACTTAGGATTTTTGAACCACTTTTCTGTGACATGTACATAATGTATATAGCCGAATTTAACGGTTATGGGAAATGTATGCATTGTTATTTATGACAATAATATTAACTGAAACAAAATGAAACTAAATGTGGTTTAACAGGAGAAAGTTTCATCAGAAACGAATACCCTGTTAAACTGAGAAACTAAACTGTGCCTCAACGATAAGTTGAAGTCTGTAAGTTTGCCTCAGCAGGTAGAGAGGCTCCCTGTTGACGATCGGAACCAGAAACAGAAAGACTAAGTTATTGTTCTGGACACGTGTCGGTGCCTGTTACAGTTTCCTATGAGTTGTACCATGAGCATAAGACCCTGAGCGCTGTTTGCATTACCCTCATGTAAGCAGCGTGAACCGGCCTTGTGCTCAGACTGACTGTGTCGTACCACCATTTGATGACCTGCTCAGAGTGCAAGCGGCCTGCACTCCCAGCGTTTAGATCATTTTATTTAAGAGCGCTGCGTCTGGCACAGGACGGCCGGGTTGGCTTTTTAAAACCTAATATCTCCTGGCCATGATCGAACAGAAGGTCAACGCCGGCTCTGCTGTGCAGACGCAGCGCTGTCTCCTGGAGGATAGTTAATGTGTTTGTGTGTTTGAGTTTGAGTGTTTTTAGCTTTTAGTCATTTCACCTTGTCAGTAGTCGGGGTCGTCGTCTTCACCACAGTGATTCCATCTCCTGTGGATGAAAGAAGAGAACGGTTGTGTTTCACCCTGAACTTTGATTTAATTGATCTGTTGATGTAGAACTATATTTCGTCCTCCTTGAGTTTGATGCATTACTGATTTAATAAAGCATGATTTCAGCACAACACACTGGTTTCCTGGCTGTTTATTGAGTTTGTTTCCTCATGATCAGATCAACTCACTGATTTACTCTGCAGCGTTTTACACAGAACCACAGATGATCAAGTCATGAAACACCGAAGCTGTTTTCAGACATGAGCTCCAGGTAGAATCCAGAGAATCGTCTCCAGAGTTTCAGCCAGAGACAGGAAGTGACGTATGAACTCTGCTGCAGAGATCATGTGATCATTGATTATACAGAATGGTCCTTATAAGCAGTTGATTACTGTAACCAAACTAGTTTCTGTATGATTCTCCCAGAACTTGAGGGAAAGGTAACTGGGTTTTTTAAGATAAGGGAAACATCACATTGCACACTTGCACACACACACAACAGACAGTGAGAGTGAGACAGTTCTGCTTGTAGCATCTCTACTGAACCATCAAGTGAACAGAGGTCAAACATTCTGATCACTGGAAAAATGGTGAAACAAAAAATAGGACTTTGATGCACTCCTCATTCTCCATCCCACCTTCTGTAATTTACCTTTCCTTCATCTTCATCTTCATCCCCTTCTCTTTCCTCTTTCACCCCCGTCTCCCGACCAAGTTCTCCCCCCGGTAACCTCCGCCCATCCAACCACCTGCCCCCTGGACCCCATCCCTTCTCACATTCTCCAATCTATTGCTCCCGACCTTCTTCCTTTTCTCACCCATCTCATTAACACTTCCCTGCTAACTGTCTGTTTCCCTAACTCCCCCCCCCTCACCCCATCTGAAGTAAACAACTACAGACCTGTCTCTCTTCTTCCTTATCTTTTCAAATCACTTGAGCGAGCCATCTTCATTCAGCTCTCCTCTTATCTTCACCAGAACAACCTTCTCGATCCTCACCAGTCTGGCTTCAAGGCTGGCCCCTCAACTGAGACTGTCCTAATGCTGTCTGAGCAGCTTCACTGTGCTAGAGCAGCCTCTCTCTCCTCTGTCCTCTTCTTCTGGACCTTTCTGCTGCGTTTGACAGTTAACCACCAGATCCTTATTTCCTCAGGTCCAGTCTACATCCAGGACAAGGTCAAACCTTTCACCCCAACCCGTCCCCGCTGCTCTGCATCTTGTACTCACTTGATTCTTGTTGTTCCCTCATGGTTGATGCACTTATCGTGAGTCGCTTGAATTGTAAAGTAGTGATTATTAACTAATAAACAATAATAATTATTATTATTATAATTATTATTATTATAGTGTTCCCTGTCTGTGCGCCCCCCCCCCACCGATTGAGATCATGCGTCAACTGAACGAGACATTAACAAAGTATAAAAATCGAATCAGAGCATTTACATAAATGCAAATGAATATTCACTGTTCTTTATTTTCTGTTTGTTACAAACAGTAGAAAATAGAAAACCAACAAAAAGCATTGAAAGTTCAATTCAATAAAATAATGTGATATAAATGACAACGATTAGCTACGTCGGCCGTGTTGACCCAACTATTTTATATGAAGGAGCTGAAACAATAAACAGGAAAAGAAAATGAAGTAAAAAGTTAATGAGGCTTAATGGAATGTTCATGTAGTTAAAAGATAAAGACAAAACCAAACTTTATAAAATCAGCTGATCGCTCACTTTGTATAAAAATGATTCTGTTCAATATTCATTTTATGTTTGAATAAATAAAAGATGAAAATTATGATTCTCTTTTTTTTTTCATACCAAAGTTCATTTATAAATTTGGCATTTAAAACATTTTCAACTTCTATTACTACTCACAAGTACTTCTACTTCTTCTTCTTCTTCCAAAAACCTTGTTCACGTAACAAAAATGATATATTGTTATATAGAATCCACTTCATACCCAAAACTTCACGTGTGTTTATTCAATTCAACTATAAGTAAAAAATACTTCACACTAATTTTAAGGCAGTGGACGACAAGCAGGTTGTGTATAATGTGGATATATAATAAAACAAAAATGATTTTAAAATAAAATGTATATAAAATAAAACACATGAATGAATAATAAAATAATAAAAGTGCTGTGGTGGATAAACTTTATCAACATCAACATTCTCTTCTTTAATCAGATTAACTTTCTTATTCTACCACTACTTTATAAACATCATTGCGACAGTTCAGCTCTTTCTTCATCTCCTCCGTCATCGTTCCACCTCAGTGTCGTCAGCTTCCTGAGGTTTCCTTTCTTTTTATTTCTCCGAACGTTAGCTCCTGTGTCCTTCCTGAAACGTTAGCTCCTGTGTCCTTCCTGAAACGTTAGCTCCTGTGTCCTTCCTGAAACGTTAGCTCCTGTGTCCTTCCTGACGTGGTGCAGCAGACCTCACGCGGCAGCTCGTAAAGCAAAGTGCAAAAGAAAGGAATAGAAATTCTCAGAGAGTTGATCTGTTAACACGCCACCAGGAGGAGCTCACTGCATAGCTACATTTAGGCTTTGAAGCAAAAAATCTTTTGATCACATTCGACAAAGACACAGAGAAGAAACATTTGGAATTGAAACTATTGTTTCTCCTGGAATTGCACGAGACGTCCCTCATAAGGTTTACGGACACAGACTTTCTTTAAAGTGCATAAAACAATTTGATTTGAGCGATCCTCTTTGGTTACGCTGACGAGCCAATCATCACATCTACACAGCAGGAGTCCAAGTATCTGCAGAGCGTTGCTAACTTCACCACCAACAGAAAGAGCTGAAAGTCTCAGGGAGGTCAGGGTCACTCCCACATGCAGCAACATTCACAACATACAAGACGCACGAGTCCGATTCTTCGGGTGACGACAGGTGAGTGAAACCACTCAGGTCGGACCGAGGACACTTCCACCATCAACTGTCCAACAACTACGCAAGAAATCACAACAGGAGCCAATCATCGAAAAGATTCTTCTTCTCTTCTTCTATCGAGCCCAAACATCCACCACAGAGGAGGATCCGTCAAGTTCCCACCATCAGAGACGTTAACCAGGCAGGATCAACATCTGCCACCACAGGTTAGAGGCGATGTTTTTTCTCTGGTCGGGTAAAGGTCACAACATTAATTACAACATGAGCCAATCATCTCAAAGTTTGGAAATCAATTGGCTTTCGCGATACTTTGTACGTTAAAGGCCGAAGGTTCGAGGTCCGATCGAAACAAAAGGTAACAGTTAATCCTTCAAAAGGTTTCCAGGTCAATCAAGCAAACCTCAAATCTCGCCTCCGTCGAGATTTCTGTAAAAAAACAGGTTCGGGTTCAGTTTACTTTGAGAAGTTGGGCAACAAAGTGTATTTTCCACAATAAAAGAGAAGGAAGAAGAAGAGGTGACACAAGAAGACATTAGAAGCTGCTCATCCCATCAGGCTCAGAGGACGAGGCCGCTGTGGATCCACATCCAACCCAAAACACAGCCATGCTGGATTTTGACTGTTTGACTTTAGGGATGACCCTTCTTGCTCTATTTAGACCAGAATAAATGTGAGTGTGGCTGCTACTGATGCCATCGGTGTTGAACTCAAAGTCTGGGTCGAGAGCTGTATCCGTGGAAACAACCCATGAGGCTGGACGCCATTTTTTCAGAGTGTACGGTGTCTTAACGCGACGTTTTATTTTCTCTCCTGAAGCACTCAGATCTTCTGAGGAGAGAAGACAGAAACACATTAGAGAACTGATGAATGGACAGATTTGAAATAGCACCTCGTTGTTGCCATAGCAACCAAGGTCAAACCACAGACCCTTCACAACAGGGAAGTAGAGGTCATGATACCATCGGCTAATCCTCCAGTTGAAGGAGGCCACAGCCATTAAAACAGTGTCTCTCAGGTAATTAAGAAGAAATAGAAGAATGAACGTGTTTAAAGTTGGTTAATGTTCAGGTCACAAACAGGGTCTTCACATGAATGGACATGAATCTTGACTCACCTGAAGAGGGGAAGGACGAGGACAGGTCCAGAGAACAAGGACGCTCAGGTCTCCTGGTTCTGGTCTGCTCCACCTGATCTACGGCTGAAACTTGCAGAGCTGCAGGTTCTGGATCTGAGGCTTCATTAGGAGCAGCGGCTTCTAAATCTTGAGATTCTGGAGCTTCTGGATCTGAGGCTGGATCACTTGCAGTAAAGGTTTCTGCAGCCAAAGGTTCCTCGACCTGGGTTAAGGTTTTGGGGGGTGGATCTTGCGCTTGTGTAACTGGAGTTGCACAAATCTGCTCAGGTTTGGGACTGATGACTTCTCTGACCTGAATGACCTCTGAACCCTTCGTCCTGTCAGCTTTAACCTCTAAATCCTGGATCTTGACCTCTGCTCCCAACACAATCCTGTTGTTGTTGTTGTTGGAGTTTGATCCTCGTCCTGATGCTCGTGACTGATGAGGAAGGTCTTGGCTTTTGGCTGGAGGCTGTTCTCTCCTCAGCAGTGGTTCGTCTTCATCAGGACTGAAGTTGAGTAGATTCAGATGACTGTCTTCTCTTCCGATCGTCTCTTCCTCCATCCTGTTGTCGTCCTCCAGCTGTGGTCCTGCTGGGTTGGTTCGACCTCCAGTGATCATACTGTTCGTCACCAGGGTGGGGACCCCCACACTGTAGCTGTTGGCAGCCACTGTTATGGACTGGACAATTTTTCCAGTTGCAACGCTGCCTCTAGTGCTGGTGTTGCTGTTTACCGTGGTCACCAAGTGGGGCTCTGCTGCTGCGGCAACTGTCACCGTGTTCATCTTAGCAACGCCTGTTTCCACCTGAAATACAGTTCAGTCTGAGTTAGTGACAAACTTTATTGTCATTCAAACCAAATGAGAAGTGCACAACAAAACTAAACTGTTTCGCAACCCAACGATCCAAAACCCAAAGACCTGCAGGTCAAACAGGAGGAGAGTTCCTGATTACCTCCACCACAATGGTCCGACTGCACAACTTCACCAATCACCACACAACGGAAACCCGTCTGTGATGTTCTCTAGAAAACTGTACATGGTCTGATCAGTCTCTCTCAGGTTAAGTCCATATTTAGACTCATCAGACCAGATCCTACCTGTCTGTGGTTCGACTTGAGCTTCTCCAGCTTCCGTCGAGAAGAGGCCGACAGGGTCTCCTTGGTTTTGGGGAGAAGGTGGAGGCTTGTGGGTCTCTTGGGCAAGTTCTGCTGTTTGGGGAGGGGGTAGATGGAGGAGGACGGAGGAGTGTCAACACCGCCCAGTTCTCCGTGATGAGTCAACACAGAGTTGTTCACCTGGTGGAACCACAGGATCTCAGGTTACTCTAGGTTCAGCAGCAGTCACCCTGGTAGTTAGTTGGTTACCTCAGTGGTTATACCTGGTTAGTCTGTAGAGCCTGTGACAGCAGATTGGTGATTTGTGGATGTGAACTGAACTGTTTCTGTGAATGTTCCATTAAGTTCTCATCAGAATTTTCCCTCAGGTTCTTATCGACCTGTAGAGACAGACGTTGTGAATGATGAGGAAACGTTTGAGGTGTGAAGCACAAATATAGCATCAGATTAAAAGTGAAGACCTTTCTGGGGTCGAGCTTGGTGGCCTCCAGGTCTTCTTCTGTCAGCTGCAGGCAGACGGACACAGTGCCACCTGGAGGACATCAGGGACAGTAACAACACTCAAGCCATCATTTTGGTTCCACTGACAACTTAACAACTTGAAAACTATGTGGTTCAGATGTTCATGTTCTCCTCAGGATGCACCGTGATAACTGAAATCAGGGTACTTCATTTCAATGAGTTCTCCATCAGCCTCAGCTGATCAGTTAGTAAACTCCAGCATTTGTCACGTGACGGCAGAGGCCACACCCGCTATTAAATGTTTTGGTAAATGGTCTGTTTCTATACAGAGCTTTTCTTCTCTTGATGACTTTGGTCTTAACGAACACACAAGACGTAGAGCAGGGACGTGAGAGACACATACTGGACAGATGTTAAAACCACAGACTGTGTATGAAGACGTTCAAACTCACGTCTGCGTTCACATTCAGAGATGGTGCTGAGGACGGTGGCAGGCGTCAGGCTGGAGGTGGCGTCTGAAGAGGACAACCGAGCTTGACTCTGACAGAGAGAGAGAGAGAGAGAGGGGAATGAATGAGTACAAAAAACAATAGTTTCATTTTTCACATTAACGTCCGTCTCACCACCTGCTGCCGTTCATTGTTGATTAGATTTCGTTTTTTATCAGGGACCTCTGCTCCACTCGTGGTTGTCTTGACGACACATGGAAGATGTGGGTCT